TATATATATATATATGCTCACACCCCCCCCCCCCACCCCCAAGACCTACCGCGAGGTGCTTCGGCTAGCAATGGGTAGTAGAACATGTAAGGATTTGAGGAAACCATTAGGATAAAATACACTCATACATAAAAAATGGAAACGTATATCGTGTATAATCAATAGCTGAATACACTGTAATGACCTACGACGGCGCGACATCGCCGTTGGCGGATTTGGGCAAGCTTCAATGCCTGCAATTGTTTAATAGGATACTGCCTAAATGTTCCGGATATTCATAACTCTGGTCATATAATGACCATAGGCATAACCCGAAGACAGGACCAAGACAGAGCAGTGTCTGCATCCTACGTAAGATCGTTAGATGCGCCGGGTAACTTTGTGTTTGTCATTGTCTGTTTTTAATTTTGTTCATGTACTCATAGGCATAACCCAAAGACGGGACCAAAACAGAACGATGTGTGCATCCTACCTAGGATCGTAATGAGGGTTACATGTGCACACATGTTTATTCTGTGTGAAGCTCTTAGGTTACTCATGCGCCACTGTGTATAATAGCTATTACTAGTGCGAATACTAATACTGATACTAAGATTTCTATTCCTACGAATAAGGATATTACTGTTCATAACATAATAGGCTTAATGGTTAATACTAGTATTAAAAATTGCACTACTAATTCGAATAGTAGTGCTGATGGCAATATTAACACTCCTGGGGATACTAATACGCATATTCTTATTAACTGTTCTCAATATGAATACTAATAGTACTAGTTGTTTGGAATACTAATACTTGTCCGAATATTCATACCAATACTCAGGCTACTGCGATTATACATAATAGGACATTAATATGGGTATTCGTATTAAGGTCAGCATTTCCTTCGAAAGTATTCATATGCGCATCATAATTCATCTTAATACTCGTACTGATATGAATTAGTATGATTAAAAATACTTTTACGAAGACGGGTACTTTCAGTAATACCGATACTAATATGAATACTAGTGTTCCTACGAATATTAAAAAACATACCCATATTGATAGTAATTTTATTTTTTTTGGTACCAATATACACGCAACACGCAAATGCTAATATTAATACTAATATGCACATAAGTGATACAGGTCCTCCGCAGATTAATGCGCATAGTCTTATTAATTATTCTTGAGTAGATATATTCACATTTTAAAAAAACCTTACCACTAACATGAATAGTGACAGTTATGACCCACGTGGATACTCCAGATAATACGAGTATGAATAGTATGTGTTATGAAACGCTGATACGTAGTGGTACCATATTTAATGCTCCTACGAAATACTAATAATCACGTTTTCAAACAAATACAAAAAAAACAGGACACATTCAATGTACAAAGACTCGGTATTGTCACATACCAATAAATTAATATACTCGTATATTACTATGCCAAGGTACCAAGACTAGGAGACTATGACACTGGTTAATACGAACATAGAATAAGGGCAGAGACTAAGAACGAGACTAATACGAATACTCAAAACTCACACAGACATTAACATGTGTACCATTAGTTACACACTATGTTAGACTTATATTCAGACTAATACTAACGCTGACATTGGAATTGACATTGACACTGACACCAACACTAACAGTAACACGAATCCACACGCTAGAACGCAGATACTAATACTAACACTAATGCCTAATGCACATCTGAAGACTACTGCGCGGAAACAACGAAACCATTTCCGATCAAGCATGCTGCGCGCTGTATTGGCTCTAAGGCTCCGAGAACCAAAAATCCAAAAAACCAAAAAACCAAAAATCCAAAACCTTTGTCAGGGGGGTCGAAACTTTTGGATTTGTTGGTTTTCCTAGGGTTTTTTTGGTTTTCCAACAGAAAACCAAAAAAATCCAAGGTTTTTTTGGTTTTCCAGCAGAAATCCAAAAAAAATCCAAGGTTTTTTTTGGTTTTCCAGCAGAAATCCAAAAAAACACAGGTGTTTTTTGGTTTTTCACGAGAGACACAGCAGAAAAACCAAAAAAACCTTGTGTTTTTTTGGTTTTCCACCGAAAATCCAAAAAAAGCCATGGTTTCGCCAAGGCAAAGCCCAAAAAACCAAAAAAGACCTAGGAAAACCAAAAAATCCAAAAGTTTCGGGCCCCTCAGAAAGGCTTTGGATTTTTGGTTTTTTGGTTTCCGCCGTCGTATCGTATGGTTTCTTTTAATGTTTCTTGCTTATGAATACAGGCATATGAATTTGAAAGCGGACATGAGTAGGCAAGACGTTGTAAAGAGACATGACTTCACATCAGCCATGATAGAGAAGGTATCATCCCCGAAAATTACGCAAAACACGAATCGTATGCCAAACGCGAATCCCTGCCAAGAGAAGGTTTTGACGGTATTTACAATGGAAAAGAGGCCGAGGTAGGTCATGGGGGGGGTGTGTCCATATATATATATATATATATATATATATTATGTACACATACATACATGCATACAGATTTTCATACCTTCATATATACACATGTGCACAACATGTATGTATGTATGTAATGTATGTATGTATGTATGTATGCATGTATGTATGTATGTATGCATGTATGTATGAGCGTAAGAAGATATGCATGTATGTAGGTAGGTAGGTAGCTACGTAGGTATAAGTACATATACATTCATACATACGCACATGTGTGCACATATCTGCATACATATTCATATACAGATATAAGCAGATCAACATCTGCATACCTATATTATATTATATATATATATATATATATATATGTATATGTATCGTGGATTGAGCATGATTTTTTGTACCCCGGATGTTCTTGATCAAGGATTAAGACCGCTGAACCGTAAAACAGGGCTTTCATGGCGAGGCTACTTGGACAGCATGGACCAGCTCTCCATTTCTGATGCTCAGCGAGGCGTGGGGCTGGGATGTGGGCATTGTCAGCACGAAGATAACCACTGGGTCCATAGAGCCCTACCTAGCAGGGCTTCGTCGTTGCCAAGTAGGAGCGAATAAAATAGAGTCCTACCTCGTTTGTGGGCGTTGATCCTGGCCATGCGGGAGGGAAATTCGAGTTTAGGAATTCAGATTTACCGGTCGGAATACTCAGGAGTAATTGTGCATGGGTGTCTCTTCGGTACACACGTAGTACAGTTGACACCACAAACTACCGTTGCACAGAGGGTCAGGCGTGGGAATTCTGAAGTCCGGAAGCTTGCATAATCTTGTCAGAAGCCTTGCGAGATCGCATGCTGGCCTGCATGCGCACCATCTACGGCCTGATCTTGGCCTTGTTCGATGAGGCTGGCATGTGCAGCCTCTTTGTTGGGTTGCAGGGATTTGAGGTTGGGGGAGGGCAGAGGGCACCCGAGCTGCTACAACAAGGCTTCGAGTCCATTCGTATCCATTCGTGCTGCGACCGACTGTTCTTGTAGAGATCTGCAGGCGTACAGCGTGGCCAAGATTGAAGGTGTTTCCTTCGCATCAACGAAGGCCTGGCCTATACTTCTCCCAGATTCCAGACATCCGGGTGGTTGGAAGCAGTATGGAGTCTTGCACGGTATGCATCCGTCGAATTGCGGTGTGCAGGCCGCGAGCGCTGGGGCAGGCCGACAGAAGTTCAGCCATTTTGAGCTGTGGTCAAGCCACTCAAGTCTTAAGGTTCGTCATCCCGGACCGTAAACCACAGACCTTAACTCTGCCCTGTGAGCGCAAGAGTCGAAACCTTAACCGTATCCTACAGAATTCTGGGGAGCCTTTTTTTCATGATCTGCAGAAGGTCCCCAAGCTAGTCGGCCAGGCTCCGCGCCCGCCAAGAAGAGGAAAGTTCCACCCCCGCCGCTGGCACCCGCAGACAAGGTGAGAATTTCGGTTGTTCTTAGGTTCTGGGCTTCCTGTGCATGTGCAGGTGGAAGCTCGCTGAAACAAGTGGTACAGCAAATCACACCATGATCTACAACAATCGCCCTCAAATTCGAGTGGAGCACCTTTTTTCAGCAACTCTCCCACTCCTTCCGAAGATTAGAGTGTCGTAAGTATGTTTCTCTGGAACTGCGGGACGCCTAGTTTTAGGGATCTCTCAAGACAGGATTTAGGGCTCCATGTGAGGGATGCCTGGTTTTGGATCTGGGATCCTTAGATTTTTTGGGGTATGGTGAAGGAGTCTGGCGGTCAGTATACTTCGGACACTGCACTCTCGATTCCATGATGTTGGGTAGCAGGTAGCAAGACAAGCCTTTTGCTTTGCCCTCACAAGTAGGACTCAAGCAAGGGGCTGTAACCCTTTCTTCAGCTTCCGACTCAAAGCATTCCATGTATGGTCTGGAGACAAGTCTTTCAAAGCTGACGAGGCCTTCACGTCTGCCGAACTTGCACGGTTCGACGGCAAGGGCCCGGGCAAGCCCATTCTCACCTCCGCCATAGCCTTGGCATCCCAGTCGGAAGGCCAGTATCTGGGTGTTCCTGAAGGGCTGCTTCTCGCTTTTGTTATTAACTATGGTACATAATAAATTCGATATAATGAAAACACGAAACCCCACGAGGCCAGCAACAACAGCAGTGTTCTGATGTTGGGTCACCGGGGCTTATAGTTGTGGAGTTCCGATTCCGGGCACATCATGACTCAAGCATGTGGCCAGAAGAAGCGCGATTTGGCAACCTCTCATAGGGCCCGAAAAAAGGACATATAATCCCCCTTAAGGAAGGCCAATAGGCGCAGCCTGGCGGTTTAGGGTTTGGGGTTTAATAGAGGGGCCTTGTTACTTAGATTAGGGTTTAGGGGTGAGGGGTTTCGGGTTTGGGGCGGACGCATTATACCGGTTTGGGGTTGGCACATGATACCATAGTAAGAACAAGGAACCCCCAAGATAGTCTTGGTAATTCTGTGTGCCCCTACATCAGTTGCTCTGGGCCTGAGTACCCATGTTGCCCGTTTTACGTTTCACCTCGTCAGCCCTCGAGGAGCCGGCTAGCCTTCTTCTTTCTTATTGCGTGCAACAAGACATCATTGCAACTTGCAAAGAAGTAGACGGTCATACCTATGGGCACGTAATATGGTGTACCAGGCATGCTAGTTTTGCATGGATGCTAGACCGATGCTAGAATGATGCTCCATGGAGCCCTATCAAGAAGCCAGAAAAGCCCCATCAAAGAAACATCATGAAGCCCCTTAGGACCTCGCCGCAGTATTGCCAAGTGTGAGCGTCAAACAACCCCCGAGTTCCCAAACCCCTTTAACCATTAGCCCCTCTAAACACCTTAAACCCTAAATCAATAACCCCTAAGCCTCTAAACACCCTAAGCCTTAAACCCTTAACTCCCAAGCCTCTAAACACCCTAAACCCCTTACCCCCTAAGCCTCTAAACTCCTAAGTCCCTAAACCCCTGTAAGTCCCCAGGTCCTCGGGCGCGTCTACGACGTCACCGGCGCGAAGGAATCGTTTGGGCCGGGAGGCACCTGAACTCGTCGGTCAACTCTTGAAGGGTTTCGGGGTTAGGGTTTAGCCTTTGGGTTTGAGGGTTTAGGGTTTAGCATTTGGTTTCGGGTTTAGGGTTTAGCCTTTGGGTTTGAGGGTTTAGGGGTTTTTGGTTTGAGGTTTTAGGGTTTCCTTGAGTTGGGGTTCCTTTGAACGTGTTCGTATTAGGTTGTCCATATGGGTGGCCGCAAGGGTTGTAGGATTTCGTACTTGCTTTACGTGTTTGGCCTGTCGGGTTCTATGCGTGCAATATTTGCGAAATGGAGGGAGGGAGGGATTCAGGATATACGGCCTCAGGCACGAACAAGAACAAATCTCTGCCCAAGCTTCAATCCCGAAACCCCGCAAAGCCCTATTTGGGAGTTTCCGAAAATAGGGGACCCTAATATAGTACCCTGAATAGTAGGATCCCTATTATAAAGACACCAAAATAAGGTACCCCCAATTTTCGGAACCTCCCTTTACATGCTGATGCAACTCAGGGCCTTACGAGATGTTTGCAGGCCCCGAGCTCAGCTGTGGAATCCGAAGATATCAAGGTTAGAGGTAGGGCGGTTTAGCTTTTATAGGGATCAAGAAGGTTATATCGGGGTTGAGTGATATGGGGTCTGGACATACGTGCAAGTATGGTCTTCGGTGGTTCTTGCAGGTTTAAGGATTATGCGGGGCTCGGAGTGTTGAAAATTATGAAGTCTCGGGCTCACTCATGTAATGGTATTCGCAAGACAGGCATGTTCAAGACACCCTATTTTGGGTGTCACTTTGGGTTTTAGGGTGACACCCTATCCCGTCAACTCCATCTCCCATGTGCACTTCAAGAGACACACCCCCATATCAGCCTGCAGATGTAAGAGACCTCAGACCCCCCGGCAACATGCCTTCGCCTGCCGATGCGATGGATGCAAGAAGTCTCTAAACCCTAAATCCTGAGGCCACGATGGCACCTACAATTTGGCGGTCATGACGCTCAAGAAGCACACGGTGGACAAGACCGACTATACCCTAGATGCCGAGGACGCCGTGTAGACCGACTTCCCCGAGGTTCAGGGTGAGTGACCAGGACTTGCCAGAAGGAGAAGACCCCTAATTCCTCCCTAAACCCGAAAAAAATTGGGTTCCCTCTACAAACTTAGCCGTACGGGGTACTGTTAGCAACCAGGCTACAGCTTTGGAGATCTCTGGAAACTGCAGCTTCCGATTTCCCCCAAGGAGCGCTACTTTGTTCTATTGACACCCTATCCGCCCTATCCGCCCTGTCTATCTGTCTATTTTTCTGCTTGTCTAGTCTATCCATCTAAAGGTTTTTATGTATCTCTATCCGGCTGAGTGTAGCTGCCAGAGCCCGCACTCGCACCAGGGAATTTGCCTCCGCTAAGACATTCTTGCTTGCCTAGACCGAGGGGGAGCGATGTGGCTCGTGTGAAGGATATTTGTGACTTGAATATGCCTTCGTGCAGCATGCAGGAAGCCGAACACTCGTAGCAGAATTACAAAGTAGTATGTTGGGATACCATGACCCATACATAATCCCCAAGCTGAACAATAGGGGAGTGGACAACGAAGTATAAGCCTGAATGCTGAGTTGTCGCTTCTTCCAGGCTCTTGCACTTGCAACGATCTCTCCTGTCACATGCTGAGAGGACAAAGAATGCCTTGCGGATTGGATTGCCTACTTCGACAACCGCACCAATCTCAGAAGGAATCTTGGCGTTTTCGAGTTTCTGCCTTCAGAGTGCTTCATGGAGCCGGAAACAACGAGCAACTCAGCAACTCCCCAGCTGTCCCCATGCTATCGCATTCCCTGCCAGCTCGGTTTGCGTACTTCAGTCAGCACAGAGACAGAGAGAGAGAGAGAGAGAGAGAGAGAACCAGACAGACAGAGAGAGCGGAGCGGAGCGAAGCTGTCGGCAGACACCGCAAGCAAGGTTACGGGCAGCCCCTGGGCGAGTTGCGTGACAGGCACGATGCTGCGGAGATATGGGCATTGGATAACATTGAGGCTGCCCCAAGCGCTACCAACTAAGCAAGCCACTCCGGTGACCTTACGTAATTAGGCCGGATCCTGGACATTCACGAGTTGTCGATTGGTTTCATTTGTTCTGCGTTACTTTTCTGCAGGCGCCATCCCATCAGCATCAAGGACTCGGCAGGTCGTAGCATGTCGTGCTTCACATTAAAGGCCTGTGCACCTATGTGGAACTATGTGGTATGTAGTACGTAACATGTTATATACGTTGGGCGTAAAGGGGTACCACATATCATATTCCGTGGGGTCGTGATCTTGTGAAGTGTCATGCGATTGAATTGCGAATAGCCGTTGGGTATGTGCTATTTCAACAGAAACGATAAACCAAAGGCCAAGACAATCTAGCAGAACGGTTGATAGGAAGGGCAAAAAGGTGTCCTCTTTGGGCGAATCTAAATTTAGGCAAGGTTGAAACAAGGTGTCATCGTTGGGATGTAGAGCGAAGGTACGGGGGGAAACGCATAAAATCTAGTAGTTACGCACTCAAGCGTCCGGTTAATAGCAGGTAAGCAGGGAACGCCCGGAAAGCGAAGATAACGGCTGGTGCGAAGAAGTTTCAAGATGTGGGTGGGGGTGTCCGAACGGATTTTGGGGTGCAGGTTGATTGATCATCCTGATGTAGGTGGCGGGTACTTGGGGCGGATTTTGGGGCACGGGTTGCTGGCAGGGCCCGGAAGAGTCGGTAAAGAAACGGTACAAGGAAAAGGTGGAAGCCGGGAGTGGCCGAGTAGAAAAGACACAAAAAGGCGACGAGGTAAAGGTCGGAGCACAGGGGACCGAGAAGAAAAGGCCAAAGACAGGCGGCACCCACCCACCCATAGAAGCATACCGCGAACTACTTCGGTGTGTTGCAGCAGAGTCAGTCAAAAGCGATTGTATCGTTGCCGTTTCCTCGCCCTTCAATCCGGATGCTTCGGATGCGAGTGTTCTTTCCAGGTACTTTCTGCCTCATGTGGGAGTTTCCGAAAATAGGGGTACCCTATCTAGGGGTCCTTATAATAAGGAACCTACTATTTGGCGTACGGAAACCTCCATGTATGATGCCTTGTCTTGTGCATTACCTTGCCATCACCTGTCTCAGGTACCTTCAACTTGCCTTTCTCTCGGCTGGCTGGCTTTTTCACCGTTACCAGGCTCTTTTGATTTACCTGTCTAGTCACGTGTTACCTTTCAGCCATCTGTCCATCTTTCTCGGCTACCCTTTATGTACCTATGTTTCAGCTTTTTGCTTTCCGGGTGTGTATAGAGTCTACCACCAACACGAGTGCCTGTTCATAACATTTGGACTCAGGTGTTGATCTACCCGGTGAGCCTTGACATGACCCCGTGTGCACTTCGGATTGGAAGCGACGGTCTTGCCGTGAAGCAACAGCAGTTGAGATACCCTAAACCCTAAAACCCTAAACCATGGCGTCCTTGCTAGGTAGGAGGGAAAAAATCCTAAACCATGGAGATCTCGATGTGTGAGGATCTGCCCCGAGCTACCAAGATCCCCTTCGAGTCTGCCGAAGAGGAGCCCGGTGGCCGAACAGCCCTGGACAGCTCCTGGTAGCTGGTAGCCGTTGTGTTCAGGATTTGCAATGCCGAAGCATGAGGTTTGAAACATACCGGGTGACCTCAAGAAGGTGCTTCTAAGAGTGTAAACCGTACTACACACAAGTGCCTGTAGGATTCAGGGCCAGAGAACTGCATCTCATGCCTTCTAGAGCCCTTATCGAACCCTCAACTTCCGAATCCTCTAGAACCTACAAGCCCGAGATGCAGGAGGACGACAGCGCAAAGCCACCTGCGAGCAAGCTGTGAGATGTGCAGAGGGCCCTGCAGAGGGCCATACGGCTGAAAACCAGGGCTTTGCCGTTTCATGTTTGACGTTCTTATGATTGTTACCCTCTTTATATACCAGTCGAGTTACTATTGTAATTGCTGCTGTTGCTGCAAGCATCAATATGGCCTTGATTACTACCATAATCTTTATTAGCCTCAGCCTTTTTGTTGATCCTGCAATGACGGAGGCCGATGTACAGACAAAGTTTTGACCATGCGGTGGCAGCCTTTCCTCAGTCCCATTTTCAGGCAGCCTGCCTCGATTTTCGCTGCTGCACCGACCCAAGGTTGGTTTTCTGGGAGCCTGCCTCGGGAAAGATTCCAGTTTCGGAGAGCCCGAAGCAAAACGACAGAGAGAGAGAGAGAGACAGAGAGAGAAATATTTGTATACATGGTGTATATATACGTATGTATATACATGTTTGTATATACACGTATCTATCTACATGTAAAAACTTTTGTGTATCTCGCAAGACCGTGTCCTTGGTCTGGGCAAGGATTCAAATGCCACCTGCCGTGCACAGAGAGGGGTTTGCAGCCACTTCATGTGAGGTTCCTTTCGCTCGAGATCATCCTCTCGCATCGACAGCCTCGAGCACAGCCTTTGCCTTCGCCTCCCTGTCCTTTGCGCCTTGCCCAGCATGGCCATGGTCCTGGACGCCCAGCTGCAGCAGGCAGGCCTCTTCAAGAAAGTGGCGGAGTCCATGAAGGACCTCTGCAAGGAGGTGAACTTTGACTGTTCCGAGAGGGGCATGCAAGTACAGAGCATGGACAGCTCTCACGTGGCGCTGGTGTCGCTGATGCTGCGTGAATCGGCCTTCGCTGAGTTCAAGTGTGATCGGCCCGTGTCGTTGGGCATGAACGTGGATTCGCTCACGAAGATCTTGAAGATGACAGGTCCCAGCGACACGCTGAAGATCCGGCACAGGGGCGACACGGATGTGGTGAACTTCCAGTGTGAGGGCTCCGACGACCGCATCTCGGAGTTTGACTTGAAGCTCTTTCAAATCGAGAACGAGCACATGGAAATCCCCGAGCAGCACTACAAGGTGGTTGCCAAGCTCCCGTCGAGTGAGTTCCAGAAGATCTGCCGCGACCTGAAGGAGTTTGGTGAGACTCTGCATTTGACCGGAGACAAGGATGGCTTGAAGTTCGTGGTGTCCGGCGACATCGGCAGCGGCAACGTCCTGCTGAAGCCGCGCGAGACCGAGAAGCCAGAGGAGAAGGTGTCTCTCACGGTGCACGAGCCCGTTACCGCTGCTTTCGCTTTGCGTTACTTGGTGAACTTCTCGAAGGCTTCGCCCCTGTGCGGTTCCGTCACCCTGGGCTTTGCTCCGGATGCGCCGCTGCTGGTGCAGTATGATCTCGAGACGGAAGAGAAGGGCCACATGAAGTTCTACCTCGCACCGAAGATCGATGAGTGAAGACTTCCCATGTCTCTGTACTGTATGTCCCTGGAAGGCCTCGATAGGCTGAGTGTTTCGCGTCCGTAGGACTCACACAGGCTCTGGGCTCGTAGGCTTTACGGTTTTCGGGGGTTTCTCTGAGGCTGAGTAGCAAGCCCTGGGCTTCACAGTCGGTGGTGGGCAGACGAACCCGCCACCCTTGTGCAGGGAGCGGCTTCATGCACTACTCAGCACTGTCATGAAAAAGGAGGCGATTGCACAATGATGCTTTCCGCTACCGAGATGGTTGCTCTCCATGAGCGTTCGAAACAAGCCTTGCGTTGAGGCCCCGGTGGACCTCCACATGGGTTAAACTGTTAAACGTGAGCATAACAAGCAGTTCGAATTTGAGAGGTTCTCACAGATCTTACTTTGAAGAACAGAGCATTTCAGACTGGCGCCGGAAACCCAAGCCCAAGCCATTACCACAAGACCGTTCTCTGGTCTGAAATGCCACCTGCCGTGCACAGAGAGGGGTTTGTCAGAGCAACTACCAAGCATTTAACCCTTGACATGCATGTTTGCAGTTGTTTTTGGACCACCCCACAGCCCTGATACAACAAAGTGGAATCAGCGCTTCTCTACGCAATCAAAACAGGCTGCCACGAAATTTGAGTTACACGGGCGGCACAAAAATGTATTCCGTGCCACATCATGCCCGAGAGAGTACCCAGGTATGCTTGTTTTGATCGTCATCGGCACCAAAATCACACAGAAAGACGAGCGATTGCCTTGTGAGCAGCTCACTACGTGCAAGCCCTTTCATGCCACACCAGCGGATTTCAACAATTGGACGTGTTTAAAGACATCCTTTTTGCTGGGACAATGCTGGTGGCCACCACCGGCGTAACCGATGATGCGAAGTAGGAACATGATGACCCTAGCTTGTTCGATTTTCGGGCTTAGGGTTTATCGCTTAGGGTATCGGGCTTAAGATTTAGGGGTCTCATGACAGCTCCGAGATTGTTCCAATTACAGGGCGCCTGTCAGCACAAAGCCTGGTACTGTTCATGTCGCTGCCTCGTGCGAAGTCCTGCCAGACTGCGCCTCAGTTTTGCTTCATGTTTTTTATATGCAGCTTGGCAAGCATTTAAATACGATCATCTGTTTTTGAAAATCGTTTTTTCCAGGTATTGTGGAAATTTCAATAATGGGGCGCTCGCTATTTCCGTTTTTGAAAATCGTGGGGGCGTAGTTAAATGCCGCGCCGGTGCTTTTCTCAGGTTTGACGAACCACAGGGAGAACGAGCTGTACTACTTTTAATTGAAGGCCCTGAAGGCTGCGTGCTGTCAGGAGTCCCAAGCATTTAAATCTGGGGAGCATTTTTGAAAAACGAAATTGGGTGGGTGGCGAAAAAGCAAGTTTGAGGCTGGTTCCGATTCGGAAGAAATTGCAACCAGTGGCACAAATAAAGGATCTAAGCTCCAAAACCATCAGATCACTGCCAGAACGCTTGAGCCCCGAGTCTCCTCAAAAATTGTTTGGCCCAAATTCTAAGGATGTTTAATTAATAGAATGCCATCAGACCTCAGCCCGACCCTAAATGATTTAAGTGCAAACCAATATCGCTTCATCAGCCTGCGATCTTCTTGAGCCCGTTGCAGAACCGCCAATTGCCAGGCTCAGGGCTGCTAGGGTGTGACGTTGTCGACTTCGGATTCATCCCTGTTGGAGTTCATGCGTGGCAGGTTGGGGCAACCTGAGGTTACAACTTCCAGAGGGTATGTTAAAGGGTACAACTATGGCCATCGTATGACTTACTTCCTATTCAGACCTAATCCGCCCTAGCAGGCAACCTTGTTGCAGAACATTGCGGCTTGTCTATTTAGTGTTGCGTGTATGAGTACACAGAAGCTTACATGTTAACACAAAGGTATCCCGTTCCAGCGAAACCGGTATTTAGACGGATGTTTGAAATCTACTTCTCCACGTTGTTGCTTATTGCTGTTCACAGATAATGTGCAAACAGGATTTTTTCGGCAAAACAAAAGTTAAGCGTCCGATTTTTAAATGCTCGCCAGTTCCTCCCAGTTTGCAGCCACTTCATGTGAGGTTCCTTTCGCTCGAGATCATCCTCTCGCATCGACAGCCTCGAGCACAGCCTTTGCCTTCGCCTCCCTGTCCTTTGCGCCTTGCCCAGCATGGCCATGGTCCTGGACGCCCAGCTGCAGCAGGCAGGCCTCTTCAAGAAAGTGGCGGAGTCCATGAAGGACCTCTGCAAGGAGGTGAACTTTGACTGTTCCGAGAGGGGCATGCAAGTACAGAGCATGGACAGCTCTCACGTGGCGCTGGTGTCGCTGATGCTGCGTGAATCGGCCTTCGCTGAGTTCAAGTGTGAGCGGCCCGTGTCGTTGGGCATGAACGTGGATTCGCTCACGAAGATCTTGAAGATGACAGGTCCGAGCGACACGCTGAAGATCCGGCACAGGGGCGACACGGATGTGGTGAACTTCCAGTGCGAGGGCTCCGACGACCGCATCTCGGAGTTTGACTTGAAGCTCTTTCAAATCGAGAACGAGCACATGGAAATCCCCGAGCAGCACTACAAGGTGGTTGCCAAGCTCCCGTCGAGTGAGTTCCAGAAGATCTGCCGCGACCTGAAGGAGTTTGGTGAGACTCTGCATTTGACCGGAGACAAGGATGGCTTGAAGTTCGTGGTGTCCGGCGACATCGGCAGCGGCAACGTCCTGCTGAAGCCGCGCGAGACCGAGAAGCCAGAGGAGAAGGTGTCTCTCACGGTGCACGAGCCCGTTACCGCTGCTTTCGCTTTGCGTTACTTGGTGAACTTCTCGAAGGCTTCGCCCCTGTGCGGTTCCGTCACCCTGGGCTTTGCTCCGGATGCGCCGCTGCTGGTGCAGTATGATCTCGAGACGGAAGAGAAGGGCCACATGAAGTTCTACCTCGCACCAAAGATCGATGAGTGAAGACTGCCCATGTCTCTGTACTGTATGTCCCTGGAAGGCCTCGATAGGCTGAGTGTTTCACGTCCGTAGGACCCGTAGGACTCACACAGGCTCTGGGCTCGTAGGCTTTACGGTTTTCGGGGGTTTCTCTGAGGCTGAGTAGCAAGCCCTGGGCTTCACAGTCGGTGGTGGGCAGACGAACCCGCCACCCTTGTGCAGGGAGCGGCTTCATGCACTACTCAGCACTGTCATGAAAAAGGAGGCGATTGCACAATGATTCTTTGCGCCTTTGTGCTACAGGCAGGAATACCCGAGATGGTTGCTCTCCATGAGCGTTCGAAACAAGCCTTGCGTTGAAGCCCCGGTGGACCTCCACATGGGTTAAACTGTTAAACGTGAGCATAACAAGCAGTTCGAATTTGAGAGGTTCTCACAGATCTTACTTTGAAGAACAGAGCATTTCAGACTGGCGCCGGAAACCCCAGCCCAAGCCATTACCACAAGACCGTTCTCTGGTCTGAAATGCCACCTGCCGTGCACAGAGAGGGGTTTGCGAGAGGGGTTTGCAGCCACTTCATGTGAGGTTCCTTTCGCTCGAGATCATCCTCTCGCATCGACAGCCTCGAGCACAGCCTTTGCCTTCGCCTCCCTGTCCTTTGCGCCTTGCCCAGCATGGCCATGGTCCTGGACGCCCAGCTGCAGCAGGCAGGCCTCTTCAAGAAAGTGGCGGAGTCCATGAAGGACCTCTGCAAGGAGGTGAACTTTGACTGTTCCGAGAGGGGCATGCAAGTACAGAGCATGGACAGCTCTCACGTGGCGCTGGTGTCGCTGATGCTGCGTGAATCGGCCTTCGCTGAGTTCAAGTGTGAGCGGCCCGTGTCGTTGGGCATGAACGTGGATTCGCTCACGAAGATCTTGAAGATGACAGGTCCGAGCGACACGCTGAAGATCCGGCACAGGGGCGACACGGATGTGGTGAACTTCCAGTGCGAGGGCTCCGACGACCGCATCTCGGAGTTTGACTTGAAGCTCTTTCAAATCGAGAACGAGCACATGGAAATCCCCGAGCAGCACTACAAGGTGGTTGCCAAGCTCCCGTCGAGTGAGTTCCAGAAGATCTGCCGCGACCTGAAGGAGTTTGGTGAGACTCTGCATTTGACCGGAGACAAGGATGGCTTGAAGTTCGTGGTGTCCGGCGACATCGGCAGCGGCAACGTCCTGCTGAAGCCGCGCGAGACCGAGAAGCCAGAGGAGAAGGTGTCTCTCACGGTGCACGAGCCCGTTACCGCTGCTTTCGCTTTGCGTTACTTGGTGAACTTCTCGAAGGCTTCGCCCCTGTGCGGTTCCGTCACCCTGGGCTTTGCTCCGGATGCGCCGCTGCTGGTGCAGTATGATCTCGAGACGGAAGAGAAGGGCCACATGAAGTTCTACCTCGCACCGAAGATCGATGAGTGAAGACTTCCCATGTCTCTGTACTGTATGTCCCTGGAAGGCCTCGATAGGCTGAGTGTTTCGCGTCCGTAGGACTCACACAGGCTCTGGGCTCGTAGGCTTTACGGTTTTGGGGGTTTCTCTGAGGCTGAGTAGCAAGCCCTGGGCTTCACAGTCGGTGGTGGGCAGACGAACCCGCCACCCTTGTGCAGGGAGCGGCTTCATGCACTACTCAGCACTGTCATGAAAAAGGAGGCGATTGCACAATGATGCTTTGCGCTACCGAGATGGTTGCTCTCCATGAGCGTTCGAAACAAGCCTTGCGTTGAAGCCCCGGTGGACCTCCACATGGGTTAAACTGTTAAACGTGAGCATAACAAGCAGTTCGAATTTGAGAGGTTCTCACAGATCTTACTTTGAAGAACAGAGCATTTCAGACTGGCGCCGGAAACCCCAGCCCAAGCCATTACCACAAGACCGTTCTCTGGTCTGAAATGCCACCTGCCGTGCACAGAGCGGGGTTTGCAGCCACTTCATGTGAGGTTCCTTTCGCTCGAGATCATCCTCTCGCATCGACAGCCTCGAGCACAGCCTTTGCCTTCGCCTCCCTGTCCTTTGCGCCTTGCCCAGCATGGCCATGGTCCTGGACGCCCAGCTGCAGCAGGCAGGCCTCTTCAAGAAAGTGGCGGAGTCCATGAAGGACCTCTGCAAGGAGGTGAACTTTGACTGTTCCGAGAGGGGCATGCAAGTACAGAGCATGGACAGCTCTCACGTGGCGCTGGTGTCGCTGATGCTGCGTGAATCGGCCTTCGCTGAGTTCAAGTGTGAGCGGCCCGTGTCGTTGGGCATGAACGTGGATTCGCTCACGAAGATCTTGAAGATGACAGGTCCCAGCGACACGCTGAAGATCCGGCACAGGGGCGACACGGATGTGGCGAACTTCCAGTGTGAGGGCTCGGACGACCGCATCTCGGAGTTTGACTTGAAGCTCTTTCAAATCGAGAACGAGCACATGGAAATCCCCGAACAGCACTACAAGGTGGTTGCCAAGCTCCCGTCGAGTGAGTTCCAGAAGATCTGCCGCGACCTGAAGGAGTTCGGTGAGACTCTGCATTTGACCGGAGACAAGGATGGCTTGAAGTTCGTGGTGTCCGGCGACATCGGCAGCGGCAACGTCCTGCTGAAGCCGCGCGAGACCGAGAAGCCAGAGGAGAAGGTGTCTCTCACGGTGCACGAGCCCGTTACCGCTGCTTTCGCTTTGCGTTACTTGGTGAACTTCTCGAAGGCTTCGCCCCTGTGCGGTTCCGTCACCCTGGGCTTTGCTCCGGATGCGCCGCTGCTGGTGCAGTATGATCTCGAGACGGAAGAGAAGGGCCACATGAAGTTCTACCTCGCACCGAAGATCGATGAGTGAAGACTTCCCATGTCTCTGTACTGTATGTCCCTGGAAGGCCTCGATAGGCTGAGTGTTTCACGTCCGTAGGACTCACACAGGCTCTGGGCTCGTAGGCTTTACGGTTTTGGGGGTTTCTCTGAGGCTGAGTAGCAAGCCCTGGGCTTCACAGTCGGTGGTGGGCAGACGAACCCGCCACCCTTGTGCAGGGAGCGGCTTCATGCACTACTCACGCCATGAAAAAGGCGGAACATATGCACAGACGGCTGCTGTTGGAAGTATCTCAGCACTGCGGGCAAGACCTGGTTGATTTGCAAGCTTTCAGAGCAAGTCTTCACCGATCCCAGAGCCCAACAGCAAAACATCCAGCACGTGTCCGAATGTGAGAGTTGATTGTGGCTCTTCCCTCCATGCACAGAGTTGGTCCACAATGAACCTTTAACCGTAAATCTTGGGAAGCCTGAAACGGTAGGGTTTAGGGTTTGATTTCCCCAATCCCGCCCAATCCCCAAAGCTTACACCTTATAAACCTTGAAAACGTAAGCCTAAGGTTTTAGAAGCCTTACAACTTTGAAACCCCTACACCCACAGATCTGTTCGCCCTATGATCATGCGATTGTGCAATCACACATTGATCCCTCCCGGGCTCATGAGCCTAAAGTAGCCGATGAACACCATCGGCCCATGGTAAGATCCAGACGTCCTGAACGCCACAAACAGCCCCCAAGTGCACATCGAGAAGTCTGCCTAAACAGGCCAACCTGTTCCAACCCGCGTCATCAGCAGTGTTGTGAGGCATACATGCTCATAGCAATGGAAGTGTTGTCCCGAACGCTGAGCCATCTCAACTTGTTTCGTCGGGAGCCCCACACGCTCAGCATAGCTTTGCCCACCCTCCGAGCTTTCCCAGAGCACATGATTCCCGAGTATCCGCCGGAAGAGCTTCACGTCTCTGAGGCCGGGCTGGAAATCTTCCACAAAACTGCGTTTAGGGTCTCGTTAAAACTGGCGCCGGGCTGACAAGACGATTACGAGAATAATGTTCTTGGGGGCTCCTTATTACAATTATTGTTCTGATATAATCGGCCCCTAAAGCCCTATTCTAACTGTTAAGGCCCCTATATTACCACAAGCCCTTCTCGTCCGACCCGAGACCTCGACTTTGCTTGTCCGCGCAGCAAGTTGGAAGCGGAGAGCTGTGGTGTTGTTCGGTGCTCTAAGGTCCGCCCACTAGACGCACTTCTGAAAGTATACGCTGAAGCCAGAACCAAAGTAACTGTTTATTCCCTGAGCAGCACCGCGAGCAGGCAGAGTCAGGCAGAGTCCGAACGGCAAGAGGAAAGCCATGTCAGATCAGGCTATGCCTGGCATAGTAGCAAAGCCTACTTGGTTATGCTGTTGGTGTGGGTGCATACCCGGTGAAACGAACTGCGCGACTGCGAGCTCTGACCTGGTCATTCCTCTTCGAATGCATTCATTCTACACCCTTCTTCAAAGCTGCTATGTGGGCTTGGCCCAGCTGCAAGACGTTTTCTGATGGGTGCGCATTCGACATTAAACCTGTGTTGCTGGTTCTTGTAAACCCTTCATCGCGAGTTTCGGCGACAGCGAAGCCAAGAATGGCCTAACCCGTACTCTATGCCTTCTCGAGCCATAAGACAACATCCCCTGGCTTGATCAACTGTCGAAACATTCCCGCAGGAGTCTTCCAAGCGTGACCGTCTGGCTCGATTGGAGGACCTCGGCCTTCGCTAACTGCTGGGTTCAGCGGAGTATCTAAGTAGGCAACCTCTAGCCGACTCTGAGGGACACGAATCTCTACTATACTCAGCCTTTTTGGGGGTCAGGGAGCGGCGAAACGAGGTGAAAGGATAAGCATACAACTTTCAGCTGTCGCATATTTGTTGAACCTTCTTGTTCAGTTTGGGCCGTAGCATTCTACGCAAAGCATCCCTACGAATCGATCTGTATTGGCCATGACAGCCTTGCGAAGGGAATCATCTGTAGAGCCGTTCAGTATGAGACTGCGACCTTGGGTTTCATAATCGGAATATCCTGCGACGCAGACAGCTTGCATGTGATAGGGTCGATTTTGACCTGGTTTCGTAGCGCGAACAGGCGTCGTGTTCTGTCTGTTGCGACAAAGGGCTTGTTTGTACTATGTACCACACTCAGAATCGCCTCCATTCCCACCGCTTGATTGCACTTAGCAGACTTAGCATTGATTGCTTGCCGACGAATCAGTCCAGGAGGAAGCCTGCCGACTCCGTGCCGACAATGCCCGATTGAAGCAGGCTTGCCGAACGATTAAAAATTTCAAGTTTTGGGCAACTGTGAGCTGGTCTGGGGACAGGAATACTGGGTTGGCGAGCCCGATTTGGGCAGAGAATCCTAGGGTGTACGTACAGCAAAGCCGCAGGCAAACAATTGAATCGTTTCAATCACATTAGACAGACAGGCTCCGACCCCAACTTGCCTCGCAACAAACAGTAGAACATAGACGGGAAGCAGTCAGTTAGCTCTACTTCCTTGCTTGACTCATGGATCCTTTGGCCAGGCTGCAGATGGAGTGCCAGCGCTGGGCCCCTCGGGCCCCGGTTGCTTAGGGCCTGGCTTCGACAAGCGACAGAGCCCTGTGGAGTTGGTTCGCCAGCGCCGTGCTGTGCAGCCGCCCGCGGAGATCTGGGATCTTGAAGTACCTGGGCTCTGGAGTACCATACTTCAATACGTTTTTGGGGACTTGTTACTTAAAGGGAACCAATGATGAAATACACGTCTATACACTAATTTCTCCCGATTACTTCAAAGCCCAGGTGCGGCTTTTGCCCTGTCAGTCGAAACCGCGGATGCCCAGAGACCCGCCGCTGGCTTCTGTAAGCCGCAGCCAAAGCCACGGCAACCTGAGCACAGCCGCTGGTCCTCGGAGGGCCGGGAATCCGCACTTCAGAGGAGGCCCAGCTTCGCCAAGTAAGAAGTAGGCTTGGATGTCAGCAGACTATAAGCAACATGGATGGCCAGGGTGCCAGCAGCCTACCCTCTGTTCCAGCCCCATGGACAAGGACACGGCAGAGCTGTTTTGGACTAGTTTGGAGCGTACCAGATGCCATCAGCTCAGGCAACAGGTCACAGCATGTTGTAGTTTCGCTGGCGCTCAAACAGTATGGCAGGTAAGGTTCTGGTTGATCCACGTTGGGCTTTGGGGTCTCTATCGTCAGGCATGTGCTCGTCTCGACACGGCAGTGCAGAGGACTACCCCTCAATGGCGCCGACGATGTCAACGGTGTCTTGCGACAAGGCCTGGGCTTGGAGCCCACTACTACAAGACGCACCACCGCCCTGCGGAATACCGACAGTACATCGGGTGAGGGGAGTTATGAGGTTTGGTTTCCATCGCTGAGTCATCTTCTGCCAGCAGATATTACCGTTTTTCGTTGATGCTGCGCAGAAGAATCCTTGATGTTGCCCGTCCATGAGGGTTTAGTTTAGTACAGTATGCAAGAACACGAGAAACCCTGAGGGGCTGCATCCTATCAGGGACACTTCTGAGAAAGTGCAAAAGGTAGCCCAGGATCATCCAGGATCGACAGTTTTGTTTCACTGCCAGGCAGCAGCACCAGCGGTGCTTCCTGGCCCGTTGCTTCTAGCTGCTGCCGAAGGCTTGCGGGGGGGGGGGGGCCTTTGGAATGCAGTGTCCGTGGTTTTTGGTGTTCTTTACCTTCGCAAGGTGACCCTGGACGAGTGCAAACCCTCCTGCGCCAGACCAACCAGGCGCAGGATTGAGATTTTGATTTCAGGGTTGGGAGCGGACGACATGCGTTGCGGGGGTGAGTACAGGGCGCTCTGTGTTAGTACGGTACTTAGGTGCTTCGTGAGCTCCTTCTTTCTCCTGATCTTTGTTTGACCCTTGTATTCTGAATCACAGGTTCCTTCAATTGCCCGTTTTCTGTCACAAACGACAGCCAAGGAGTAACCCAAACCCAGCCATTTGGGCTCAAGATGCCAGTGCGCTTTAGGACCTGCGTTTTAACAGCTAAGGCGGCTAAGGGTTGGTAAGAGATTCTTCGAGTATCTTCAGGTATGTGCGGCATGAGCCTTTTGAGTAGAGTCTTGACCGTGTGATTGCAACTGTCCAGAACTAGAGGGTCTGAAATCAGTCGATGCTCCGGTCCCGGTTTAGCCGGGTTTGGATCCTGTGCGCTGAGTAAGCTTTCCTGCTGCCCGACAATGCTGCGCATCACGCGGCTCTCAGGGAAGACATTGGCGAGCATTCCTGCTGCGGAGGTGGATGACGTGAAGGCGTTGAAGCAGCGGTTGCATCAGCTGCACGGCTTGCCGCCGCGCTTCCGACAGAGGCTCTTTCACGAAGGCAAGAGCTTGGATGATAGTATGATGATAGTGTCAGCTTGGACTCTGCCAGGGAATCGCAGGGTGCCTTTAAATTGAAGCGAAGACGGCTTCCACGCAAAACTTCGGATGACTCCATGAAGCCGGACGTGATGGATTTGCAGGTGTTGATATCGTCCTTTGTCGATGGCAGGCGCGACCGCTGTGCCATGCTGCCGGCAGCGGCCGTGTGGCCGAGGTTGAGGCTTTGTTACAGCAGCCCATGGATGCGGACGCTGTGCAGGATGCGCTTCGCCGCACACCGCTGATGTGGGCATCCTGTGGTGGCCAAGAGCAGGTCGTAGCGTTGCTCCTGGAGGCGGTGCTGACAAGGATTTCCGAGACCGCAGGCAAGACAGCTCTGGTGCAGGCAGCGCAGAACAGTCGCGGTCCAGTCATGCAGTTGCTCCTGGACGTGGTGCCTGGACAGATTTGTGTGACAATGGAGGTTTCACGGCGCTGATGACTGCAGCATTTCAGGGTAGCTATCAAGCGGTGCAGTTGCTTCTGGATGCCGCGTTGAGGTGGATGCCAGTGACAATGGAGGCAACACTGCACTTTTCCTGGCAGAAATGAAGGGCCACGAAGAAATCTGTCAGTTGCTACTGGACACCGGTGCTTCGACTTGACCTGAGGCGGCAGCTCCAGAGCCATAAAAAGGTTTCCCGAGGACCATCCTTATTATGGCTTGGGACCTGATTCTGCAATAGCAGGCAGCTGCAGGCAAGAACAAAAAAAAGAATGCATGCTCCATGCAAGCAAAGCTGGCGAGCCGGATGAGTGCGACAAGTATGCATGTTTGTGTTATCCTGCTGTACATGCGATGGTTTGCAATCATGAAGGTTTTTCATGCATCTCTATTTTCTATTTTTCGCTTTCTCCTTTTTGCATGATGCAGGGGGGCACGGCGTCAGATTCCAGACCGTGCCTAACAAAGCTACGGAATCTGACGGGAAGCAAGGGCTGATCACCCTTGTGTACCTGCAAAAAGCTGGGCCCCTGAGCCAGCAAGATTAGTGAAACAATTGGCTTTCGCCTTTTCCAGGCAGGTTTTAGGTTTGCTCATTGATTTCTTTTACCTGGCTTGCAACCTGTGCGATGTGCAGTCTTGCAGCAGCCATGTCGACGTACAGTTGTCACCCACAGAAGGCAGGCGGGTCAGTGGAAGCCTTTCCAGTTGTGTCAAGAATGGTCCAGAAGCGGTGCGATAGGTCGGAGTTCGTATCAGTGACCAAAGGGTAGATGCGCCTGCATGCTCTTTGGTTGCTTGGGAGGGTGAGGGGACGTTGTGGCTACAGCTAATGTTTTGCCTGAGCTAATGTGCACAGGGCCGCCAAAGTGCGATATCAGGGACTGGGATCCTCGCCAAGGTTTGTCCGAGTGTGAGTGCTGAAACCAATCAATCAATAGGGCCGCCTGCAAACTGAGCACCCGACCACGCATCGAGAGACCTTATTTGGCAAGTCTGAGTTCTGCCTTTTTTTGCGGTCTTGGGTTCCTTCTGAAACTACGCAGTACCAAAAAGTAGATTATTGGGGGCCCGAGTAGTTCATTCAACATGTTTCTTGGCCATTGTGCAGTGAGTACCCCGAAATTTTTATTGGATCCATCGTGGCCCCTTCTAGTGAAAAAGCCCTCACAGTACCCTTGTAGTCACCCTTGTAGAAACAAATCTGACCTTCCGTTTTCCCCAGGCTCCGAGAGACCTCGGCCTGGCGCTGATGGCGGCGGCAAGGTGCGGCGATGCCGAGGCTCGGGGGATTTTTCGCCAAGGTTTCGGGGTCAGGGGTTCGGGTTTCGAGCTTTAGGGTTGAGGGTTTGTATGTAGCCATACATTTCTTTATCCCGAGCTTCGCATCGCAACACCTTCTAACCCCAAGCTCTTCTGGAGCTCTTACAGTTACCCGTGTAGCAACCCAGTAGCAGCCCTAAAGGCTCATAGCTGCCCAAAGCCCTCAGACTTGCCATCCCCCAGGTTTGTGCCATGCTACTGGAGGGAGGAGCGGATCTCGATGGTCCAGAAGGTTCCGTGTTGAGAGCGCTGCCCTGTGAGTTGGCGATTTAGGGGTCATAGGTAGGGCTTCGGATGTGGGGCTTCGTGTCGCCTACTTTCAAGGATGTCTCAGTGTCCCATGCTTTCGAGACACAGCCGCGTAACCAACACCGGCTCACAGCGACAGTCTATGTCGTAATTTCTCGGTAAAGCCTTGAACCCTCGATCCCCAACAAACACCACAACTATGTTGTAGCTCGATTAGGTGCTGGCATCATCGCTCTTGCTTCGGCTTGCTTGCGCCCAGGTCCTGAATTTGGGGTTCAGGGTTGGGGCTTTTCGAGTGTTTACAGTATTAAATGTGCTCACACGGCTATGCTGCAAGCGAGGGAACCCGGAGAAGAAACGTAGGGGACATGGGTAAACCCTGACAGTCCGCACCCAACATCCCTGAACTCCCTTACACCCCAAACCCTACCAAACTGTATGAAACGCTCTGGCAAGTCTGCGAGACCCTGAATCCCATAATACAGAGGCCCTAATAACTACCCATACTATTTCGGGGGCTCCTTATTATAGTTATAGTATATAAGGGGCCCCGAAACCCTATTCTAATTAAAAATTTCCCTATGTTAGGTCTTTTACGAATTATCGTGTGTGTATGTATATATATATATATACATATATATATATATATATATATATATATATATTAAGGAACCCCCAAAACCCCATTCCAATTATTAAGGCCCTACAGTACCTAGGTATGGCCATGCCTCAGTGGTCCGCTGCCTTCTGCTGCATAGCGCTCATCCGGAGCTGACTGACGAACGGGGGCGGCTGCTGGGCGGCTCCGAGTAGTGCAAGCTTTTTGCTTTCAGAGAGGCTGCCAGGGCGTCAGTGGCTTCAGAAGTACTACTTCTTCGGGTTTATAGAGGCTCCCAGGATGCTTGGGCCTGATTAGCTTCAGCTGCAGGGGAGGTGCCTAGATGCCAAGAATGGAGAAGCAGCGAAGCTGAGGAATGCTTTTCACTTGGTGACGTGGCTGATACAGTTTCGGGTTTTGGGAGTACAGTTGGGTTTGGGTCGAGGGCTTTTGGGATTTTAGTATTGGTTCCACGTAAAACAACTACAACACGATGTTCTCGGAGAATATATATATATACAAACATATCCGAACCATCTATCAGAACGCAGTCAGAAGCCCCGGCCGTCCCATTCATTCCACATTTCTACTTTGATGATCAGTGTCCGTCTGCACCGCTGTCAGACGAATACATGGCAAAATAAGCTCCCTGTGGGGTGAAAGGGCGAGTACAGGCATGCTGCAGCAGTCCTGAGATTGTGCGCGACCTGCTGGACAGCAACCGGAACCTTGCCTTTCTGAAGGCACGGTTTGGCAGCAAGTTTGTTTTTGCTTCGGGCTGCAGTTTTGCTTCGGGCTGCAGGATTTGGTCGGAGCTGAGAGGCTGCACAGGGTTTCCGCATACCGGCTGGAGAGAGCGCCAAGTTAGCATCGGATGGCAAAGGCAGTGATCAGTGAAACTCTTTGTTGCGCTGGGCAATTACACCCACTTGTGTTTACAGTTTTGTCCACGACTCTAAGATGCCTTGGCGCGTTCATACAGCACATGTGACTCCAAAGCATGAAATCCATATGAGGGCCCATGCATCGCATGGTAGGAGCACTTGAAGTGGTGGCGGCTGGATTCCGTTGAGTATCAATAGTGTTATTATTCTACTATGTTGGTTGTTATTCATGTTTTTGCCTGGTCATTGTTATTTGTATTATTATTGTCATTAGATATTGCTACTGATGCTACTATTACCATTAGTTTGACTATTACTAGTACGATTAGTATTACTATTATTCGTTATCAGTACCAATTTTCATTACAGTCATTTTTTCTATGGTTATTGTTGTTGTTTGTTTTGGAGGGTTGGACCTGTGCCCATGCCTGCATCACCACGGTTGATCTGATCAGAAACTGACACCAATTTGGAGCCTGACGTACTTTCAGACTTATTTACAGTTTTGTCGTTGGAGCCATGGAAGTGCAGTGGTGACCTTATGTATATACATCACAACTAAGGCCCATCCCCGACTGACACCCTGCGCCTTGAAGAACTGTGAAGTCTTAGTTCGATCCCATGCCCCCATGCCAAAATCGTGCAGGACGATCAGGGCCGCAATCCTCTTTTCTACGCCATGGGTAACAGACAGGACTGGGCTTTGCAGTACCATACTTTAATACTTTTTCGGGGACCTGTTACTTAAAGGGAACCATTACGAACCAAAAGTCTATACTTTTTCTCCCTGGTTACTTCAAAGCCCAGATTCTAAGTATGAATGCCCATATATCATATAACCCGTTTTGGTCCCTCATAGACCCCTTTTAAGGAAACCTTTAAAGGAACCCTACAGGAAGACGGGAAGATGGAAGTTCTGAAACTCTTGCTGGAGGTGAGGTGCAGTGCCCGCGAGGCTGGGATCTGAGTGTAGGCTCGGATGTTTATTATAGGGCCCAAATAGTTACGAATACTATTTTGGGGTTTCCGCATTATGATCATAATCTAGTTATGGATGTTTATTATAGGGGCCTAGATAATTACCAATACTACTTTGGGGTTTCAATATTATGATCATGATATAGTTTAAGTATCGAGGCCCCTGTATTATTGGGCTTAGCTCCCGAGGTGGAAGGATTTGGGTTTGCGATGTAGTCTTGAGAGGGATCCGGACTCAACGACGGTGGCCTGAAGATTTCCGTGCCGCTCTTCGGAGCCTGGTTCAAGCGATGGTAACCCCATCATAACCCTTATGAACATCATTGCTAGTCCAATAGTCCCTAAACCTTAAACCCTAAACCCCCAACAAGGCTTCAGAAAACCTTTTCAGTCAGGTGGATGTCTTTGGTCGGTCGGCGCTGTACTACGCGGCTCGTTCAGGCCAATGGCAGTCTAGATTAGTGCATCTCTTTCGTGCGTGTGTGTGTGTGTGTGTGGGTATACATACAAAGTGTTTGTTTGCACATGGTTTAAACATAATATACGACATAATCTGACTGTAAATAGGAATGTGCATGTGAATATGAATAACACATTCATACCACCATGTGACACAGTTCAACAAACTGTTTTGAAGTAGGCGGCATGCGATTTTATGTTGCATTGTAACAGATCTAGTAATCCAAAATAGGTTGTGATATAAATCTAAATACCTCGAACGCGTTTCTGACTATGCCGGTGCAAAGGCTAAACTGCGGTTGCTGGGGGCCCCTCCTGGCCGTAAGATTGACAAAACAACCTGGGTTCTAGTTAAAGGATTTAGTTTAAGTTTCCATAATCAAGAAACCATACTAGTTGCTATAGATCTAACTGCCAACTGGAACGTGTTCAACTCATGTTCGCATATCGGTATACTGGTATACTGTCCACATCTAGGACTACAGATGCACAAACAAAGTTTTTTTAAACAGCAGCATATGTATATATATATATATATATATACTCATCTTATAGAGAGGCAGATAGACATATGTCGAGAATGAGAGAGAGAAAAAAAAGCGCAAGAAAACAGACAGGACATAAATGCAGATGCAACGTACGCTCCTTATTACAGGTGTCTGAATATATGTTAAAATGCATTTCATGTGCATGTGCACTTGAATGAAACTTGCCTGCTGGCACGTCAGGTCACATGAAAGTGGTCGGGCTACTGAAGCAGGCTGTCGATGAGGAGTGTCCTCCTGAGTATGCACATGGCTTGCAGGCCAGGGCGGGCGGTTTAGTGATCGTGTTTACAGGCATCCTTGCAACAAGGATGCTGCTGCGTTTGGTGTTGCATGCACGGGTCGCACGTCGGAACTCTTGTATGTGTGATATGTTTCGATAAGTACACTGTTTGACGTACTTTACATACACGACGGTAAGCAACACAAGACAGTGTTTATGACATGCACTTACTCATGTATATCATACAATGACAACAATTCCTGCAATACATACATTACAATACACGCAGCACATACAAACCACTCTATCCTGCCGTGCCATGCCACACCATACCATGCTGACCAATCATGCGCGTCTGTCTTGAGTAAGATTTTGCGGGTTTGGGGATATGTGCAAGCCATTAATTCGCAGATCGCTAGTATCACCTCCAAGTAGACGCCAAACCCAGAACCCTGAACCTCAAAGCAAAGCCTTAAATCGATAACCCCGGTCCGAGTGCCGAAACCGCGGCGAAAAAGCCGAAACCTGGAGTTCGAATCAGGCGGCTTCCGACATCCTCAGGAAGAGAAGCAGCGCAGCCGTGCAGAGCTTAGCAAGCAAAGGGTTATTGAGCTTCCGGGGTTTAGTTAGGGGTTGAGGGTGCAGAAGCACGAAAGAGGCCTTCTTACAGGGGTTTTCGTGTTGGATATTTGGTTTGGGTTGGGGTTTAGGGAAGGATTCCCAGAGGACTTTGAGAGGTACTTCGGTCAAGATATACAATGCTTTTCGTTGTTGAGAAGGCCGAGGATCCTTGGTTGTTCTTTTGTTTTAGAGGCTTCGCAGGCAGGGGGCTCAAGATCTCGGATGGTTTCGGCGTGTAGGGATTTGGAGCTTAAGGGTTTCGGGGGAGTTGGGGCCCCGGTGACTCGGACGCCAAAACAGGATAGCTGAGGTTATCGAGCCAGAGAACAGTCGGGCTGATGGCTTACGCCCATGGATGCCCAGCCATTGCTTCTTACATAGGAATGTCTGCAAGAAGAGCCCCCCAAAGGAAGAGCACAAGCAACTTCGACGACTCCTAGAAGTTGATAGTAATACTTACTCCCATTGATAACAATAATAACAATACTTTTGCACTAGCCACGATAATAGTAGTCATAATGATAACAATCGTAATCATATTAACAATAGCAAGAAACAAGAATGATGATAGTGATAGCAATGTCAATAACACCAATAGCTGCAATAACAATCATACTTATAACTTTGGCAGAAACCATAAGACTACGAAGAAGCCCAAACCCTAAACTCTTGCGCGAGTGTGAGCGTCGAAAACCCTTAAACCCTGAGCAATGGCAATCTGGGAGTTTCCGAAATTAGGGGTACCTTATTTGGGGTCCTTATAATATAGATCCTACCATTTTTTTGGTACTATATTGGGGTCCCCTGTTTTCGGAAATTCATATGGCACCCTAAATAGTATGATCCTTATTATAAGGACCCCCAAATAAGGTACCCCTAATTTTCGGAAACTCCCATCTGTTCCGAGGCTCGGGAAGCCAAAGAAGCTCAGGAAGCCGCTGAACAGGTTCATGGGGAGCGAATAAAATGGGAAGCCACCCAGGTTGCTTGGGCTCTTGTTACGGGACATAGTGAACTTACTTGCCATCATAAGGCACCCTTAAAATTACCATAGACCCTTATTAGTTACCACAATAAGGAAACCTATATTGATTACTATAGTCATCCTTATTCTGGTAACTTAAATTGAACGCCTTCAAGAATCCAGGTTGCCAGGGCCGCCATAGCTGAGGAAGAGCGGAAGTCACGAGAAGTGGCTGAGGGAAAAATCAAGGCCTTTGAATCAGAATCCAAAGTCGCCGAAGTGAGGAGAGTCCAGGAAGTGGCGGAGGCCGGCAGGGCTGCTGCACGGGCTGAAGAGGCTCGACAAAAGCGCGAAGCGGCAAAGTTTGCAAGGGCCGAGGAAAGGGGAGCAGAGGCGAAGAAAGCTCAGAAAGCTGAAGAAGCCGCGAAAGCTGCTGCAAGGGCCCTTGAAGAGCGACAAAAATTCAAAGCTGCCTTGGCCGTACTGCCTGCTGTCAGGATGGCCGAGGACACCAAAGCCTGCGGACTCTTAATCTCGGCGGCGTCTGCTAGCATGACTGCTGAGGCAGAAGCTCGCGAGGCTGCTGTCCGCAGTCCTGCTGAGAGACTTGAAACCATAGCCGGAATCGCTGCAGACCTTGTCACACAGATTAACAACCTGCGGCTCGAAAACGCAGTGGCTCTGGCTGCACAGGACGATGAAATCAACCCCGAGGCAGACGATTTCGCCAAGCAAGATCCGGAGGAAATACAACCGCCTCTGCCTCCACCTTCATTGCCTCCAGACGAACCACTCTTGCCAGCACCTGCAGAGCCTCCAAAGGAGGACGTTGCGAAGCAAGACGAGGAACGGAAGGACGGCACGGAATGCGCCGTCCAACTTGTTGCCGATGCTGCAAAGGTTGAAGAAGAGTTGGCAAAGGAGGACGCCACCGAAGCGGAGAGCGGCATCAGGGAGGACGAGCCCGGCAAGCTTGAGGCTCCGAGGAAGGAGGAGGCCGCGGCAGAAGCAGCTGAGGCTGAGAAGGAGCCAAGCAAGCAGGAAGCCCCATCGGCTAAAGAAGATGCTTCCCAAACCTAGGCACAGAACGGCGACACCCTGGACTCAGTCGCCGATCCCCTTAGCATAAACAAACCCTTGAAACGTTTAGAAAGTACGAGAGTCCTAGAATCAAGCTACATCCCTGGTAAAGCCTTCAAAATCCTAGGATCCCGAATACAAGGACACCGCCCGCCCCCTTCAAAAGGAAAAGGACCCAGAAGGTTCAGCAACTCCTGGAAGGTCGGGCCATTGGCTGCCAAGCAGCCATGGCCTGCGGACCACAAACGCACGCTGCGCACAAAGAAAAAAGCGGTTCGATGTCGTAGCGGCTTGGGTCTTTGCGATTGTTCCGGGTGCTGCTGCAAGCCCTGCTTTCCCTCAAGGCGCAACCGTCTGCGCAAGACCCCGATGCCTCAGGCCCGGACCCCCAAACACAACTTCTTCGAAGTCCTTTCGCCTGCAAGGATGGAAAGAACTTCTTACAGCTGGGTTTCGCTTTAAGCCTCGCGAAATCTCGAGAAGTTGTCAGCTCATGACCTTTCCATTTCACCTAAAGGATGTGTTGCCTGCACCGCGGCCCATGTGGCTCCTTTTCGAGGCCAAGGCTGATAGCACACATGTTCGAAATTGAAAAGTTTACAGGGGTCTCCGATGACATATCAGCTCACCAGCTTTGTACTTGGAAACCATGCAACCAGCAAGTACTGCTCAGATGTACGTAGGCTCTTGCATGAATGCCGGTGGATCGAAGACAAATGGCAGGACTACGAAGATGATTGTGGCAGCAATACTCGTGTTCATCGTCATTAGGCATTAGTAAGGTATGGTTTAGAGATGGTCGCAAGAACATCACTTAGCGGTAGTTCTGCTAGTAGGAAACACTGACACTGACAACACTGAACCCTTTGTACAGTGAGTATAATGTATACTACCGCTAGCCAATAGAGTTGTGTCGAGGAACGCCAAGTCACATCACCTCTTGATTGGGCTGCCTGATCCACAGAAAGTCGCCCTTTAGAATCTTTAGAATACATTCTAAGCGAGAGCATCGGGCGTTTCACTCATCACACTCACACTATCGCGTTTGACACGTTCTTGAGCTGACACAACAGAAGTAGGCCCCTCTGTTTTTACATGGCTCAGACATAACCTGGCAATTAGCCCGGGCGACATTCTCATCAGCTGACAAGGCGGGTCGGGCCCGGACGGGTCCTGTTTACTGTTACTCAACGTTGGAGCCTTGATGTTTAAGCTGGTGATTCTTGTGATCCTGGTACCTCGTTAGAGTAAAGCACAAACATCGGCGCCCTGGTGTCACATCTATGCCACTCTGCATTGGATGGTCTGAAGCTTTCACTGTTGTCGTCTCAGATGTGCGGCTTGGTGATGATCAATGTAGGGTATCCGGATGATGGAAAGTATACATACCAAGGAGTGCTGCAGCTGTCACTTTCAAAAGCAGCTTTGACGAACGAGTGGTCCCATTTCTCGAACAGTTGAGCAAGGCCTCCCGGTCAGCGGCACAGAAGCTAATCTTCGACCCCTTGACACTTTTTAAAGAACAAAACAGAAACCCTGACCCCGCTCTCGTACGCGCCTGCGGCAAGCAAACAGCCCCGCTCTCAACCGACATCCTTGCACCAGTGTGCCGCGTCCGCTTCGGGTTTAGGGTTCGCGTTCCGCGCTTCATTCTGATTTAGTGTGACGGCTGAGCATCCTATGGCCTGCCGACAACCCACGGCAATGTTTATGCCAGACGCTGTTCGCTGTACTGGTGATCATGATGATGGCGGTGATGCTGATGATGCTGATGACGAGGACTTGGAGAAGGATGAGGATGATTGTTATCATAGTGGAGATGATGATGGCCATGGTGTTCATGTTAGTGGTGATGGTGGTGCTGCAGATGAAGAAGAGGGCAATGATCATGAATGATACGAGTTCAGTATGAAATGATCATGTTAGCGATGATGGTGGCGGTGCAGAAGAAGACGAAGAAGAAGATCATGATGATGATGAATGATACGAGTTTAAGTATGCGGAGGATGAGGACGATGATGGCGATGGCAACCCTGAGCCCAATAAAACCTACCTTCCTAAGCGCAAGCCCATCTGAACGCCAAACCCTGCATACCCTGAAAGAGCCGACCTTGAAAGAAGCTCCTAAAGTCTGAAGAGTCTTCGTTGTGTTACCGTCTTTGCAGCCTTCCTAGGGCTTCGTGGCCTGGCCGGCGAAGCCGCCAGTGCCGAGGACACCCTCCCCGGGGCTTATCGGGGTCTTGGGGTTTAGGCGAGTTTTGGATGCAAGACAAGGTGCAACCCCTCAAAGAAGGTGACTTTTGGATGCGCTAAGACGGTAGGATGTAGAGAAGAAGAGGCGTTTTGCGACTCTGGTTTTTTTTGAAGGTTTCGGGCCCAAGCATGGACGGCTTCAGCCCAGGCCTGCACCCAACAGGCCTGATGCAAAAGATGACTGAGGGCTATTTGGTGGTTTTCCAGGGCGTAGGGCTTCAGGTTGGTATGGGTTCAGAATTTAAGGTTCGGAAGGATTTCGAGAACAAGCTGAAGAGTGGAGGCTTGGTGTTGTCCGAGGCGGGTAGACGAGTTATGACGGAACCGCGATACGGGAAACCGCCAAACCCATAAACCCTAAGTGTCTCTGGAAACTCAGGAGTCCAAGCCGACTATCTTTTTTTCTGGCCTACCTGCTGAGACATGAGGCTCGCTCATGACCTTTCTCCTGGGGGTGCTAGTGTGGGGATCAAGCTTCCAGAGTTCCTTTGCTGGGTTGTAGAAGTTATGTAGCATGAGTTATGGAGTTCGTATGTCGCACGCAGATAGCAAGCTTCAAGGCTCTCCCCCAAAGATGTACCACATTGTGCCAGCCGGAATATGCTGTTATATAGTCATTTAGCTTCGGGCTTAGTGCCTATTTGGCTCGGGCGGGCCACCCTTTGTTTCCTCGGCGATTGCCGTTCGCAGGCTGGGGCCTGTCCGAGTCTCCGGTTACAGCTAATATATAGGGGCCTTTCAATTAGCTATACTATTTTAGGGGTTCCTTTGTCATAACTATGGTATAGTATCCCCCGCCCATATGAGCTAGCATGAGATGGGCCCACCCACTTTGGGCAAACACACTTCAAAGTTGAGTAGCTGAGAACGAGGCGCCCAATGGGCCAAGTTTTCTGAGCTCTTGTTCGGGAACCTCACGCCATACAAGTTACTGTAGCTTCTTATTATGGTAGCTTAAATGCCATAATGGGGATATCTGGTAACTAATCGGGGTTCCTAATGATGGCAATTCAAAGTTTAAGTTAAGTTTTGCACATGGCTTATACGGCCCAAATGACGGCTTTTGATGCATTGGTTTGGGGGGGTGAGGGTTTGGGGGTGTTGGGGCTGTAGGAGAGTGTAACACCCCTCACTGGGCTTCAATTTGGGCTGTGGGGGAATTCCCGAGAACCGGACTGCTGCTGACAGCTGGGTGCCCCTCCCCCCACCTCCTGAAGGGCCCTTCAGATCACCTGTTGAGCAGCTTAGTGCCAGAATCCTTGTTGTTACGCTATCTCTGGGCCGACGGCTTTGAAAACCCTCCGCAAACCCTAAACTCCCTAAACCCAGAACCCTAAACCCGATCCGAGGCTTGTCCGAGTGTGAGTGCTGAAACCCGATCCGAAAAGCCCAAGCCTGAATCGAGACCCCGCCAAGAAACACAAGCACCAAAACTCCGAAGCCCTACCGCAGGAATCCCGGTCGAAGCCCTCTAAACCCCAAGCGCATGTAAAGCCTAGTGCCGGAGTCATAGTGTCCCCGAAGCTCAAATCCGAGACGAAGTTTTAGAGGCCGAGCCGTCCGGCTCTTGCAGTGCACACCTCAGCGTCCGTGGAGGCCAGGAAAGCTTTGCAGAAGTTTGGGTTATGATTCTAGAGCTCTTGGGTTTAGGAGTTTTCGGGTTATCCTGGAGCCGCTATGATTATGGACTCATTATGATAGTCTTTCGGGTTTCGAATTTCGGTTGGGCTTTGGCAGTGGACCTTTGTCGAGGTTAGCGCGAAGCAAGCGATGCGAGACGGATGTAGCGGGGCTATCCTGCCTAGCACGGGGTACAGGGAGGCATCCAATGAAGGAGTCGCAGTGGCTGAGTCGGCGCATGGCCAGGTAGTGAGTGGAGGCTTTTGCCTTCGCCTGTCATGGCACGTACCTAACTTGCAGGCACCCGAAGTTTGTACAATTACCGGCAGACGGAAAGAAAACATGTGATAAATCATGAACTAAGGTAACTAAGGTGTACTCTTGGGCGAAGGCAGCCTGTGCGGTCTACAAACGCGGCCGTGCTTCCGCCAGGATGCTGCCGTACACCATCGGCTTGCTCAGCTGGAGGAGCCAGAGCTTGGAGCCCTTAATCTAGGGGCCTAAATACCTATTCTATTTTGGGGGGGTTCTTTATTTAAGTGTAGTATAATGGGCCTACTCTAATTATTAAGGCCCCTATCGTACCCTTAAGCGTTGCCTTCCTTGAGACCTGACCTTCAAAGGCATCTTGTTTTGTCGCTGGGCCGGCCACAGCCCACAGTTTGCAAAGCTCGGGCCCGCGAGGAAGAAGTGGCACAACTGCGAGCAGACAATGCTCGACTGAACGAGGCCATCCACTTCACTCGGCGATTGCATTTATATAGGAGCCGGGATAAAAACACCAATGCTATTTCGGTGGTTTCTTATTCTAATGTTTTGTGGGTGGCAAAAACATGATACAAAACATACCCCAAAAATCCTGTTCTAATTTTTAAGGCCAGCGACGTGAAACATCATGAAGCTAGATCAGCATGGTGAAGGGCGGTGCTGCTTCTGGGTCCCTTGACAGTTCTTTGGGGTCTGCAACTTTGAACCAACACCGCTCCCTCGAGCATCGGCGTTCTAGCTATGGCTGTAGTGACACCGGTCCGCTTCGGGCGGGTAGGCGTTGGCAGGGCAGCGTAGTTCCGTCTTGAGTCGAGATCCTGAAGGGCCGCACTGTCGCAGTATAAGATCAAAGGCTCGGGACTTTTCCGAGAGAACAAGAGCTCAAGACGGAAAACTGAGATTCCCTCGTCAGCTCTAGTGAAAACGCCACGACCAGGCCCTCCTGCAGCTGGGTACTGAAAACGAGATGCGCCAGAGCCCCCTGGGCCTCGCGAGACAGCGGGGAGCCGTGGCAACAGAGAAGAGGCGGCCAGCTTGGTTTCGTTTAACGCGCGAAGAGGGGGCATAGAAAAGTCGAACCCAAACCCTCCGGGACTTATCCCCAAGTCCTGAGATTGAGAAGGCCTTCAATCCTTAATCCCGAAGTGCCAGAGGCTCTGGAATACACTGAGGTTCCACAGCCCTGAACGCAACAAAAATTAGAGTTTTCAGGCCTTACACTTGCTTTCAGCAGGACGGAGCGATTCCACAGTCCTCCTCCACCCGACTGCTTGCGGAGTACCGAAAACTTCACCGATCTGGTGTCAGAGGCGCCGCGTAGGTCCTGGGCCACAAGACTTTGAAAGATCTTCGGGTCTAGGTCGGCTTGTTGCTGAGGCCCATGGACTTATGAACAGCAGCTGTCTGTTGTGCCCTCACCCCTATAAGCCCAAGCCTTCCGCTCTGCGGTATCCGGGAGGGCTGCAGTGTACAGTCGGTGCGCATCCATCGGAGTTCCGAGCATCGTTTATCAGTTTAGTTTATCAACTCCTGTACCCTGCATTGTAGGTTCGTCCCAGCCGGGGAGTAAGAAAAGCAGTTCCTAAACTCGAAACCCAACCCCCTAAACCCGAACCCTAAAGACAATCCCTAAACCCCTAAACCCTAATGCGCCGTCGTCGCTGTACCGGAATCCTCAACAGGTTTGTCCCAGTGGTGATTGTTGAGATATACATCGGATCCGCGAAAGAACCCCAAAAGCCAATCTGACGAAACCCGGGCGGGTGTTGCAAAACATCACTAAACCTTTAATTGGGAGTTTCCGAAAATGGGGGACCCTAATATGGTACTGTACCTTAAACAGTAGTAAGTATCCTTATTAGAAGGACCCCCAAATAAGGTACCCCAAATTTTCGGAAGCTCCCAATTAAACCCTAGGAACACATCGAATCCGCGAAAGGCCCATGATACTATTTTGGGGGGTTCCTTATAATAGCATCATGGGCCCCAAAGCCCCCCGCTCTAATTATGAAGGCCTCGATATCATATAACCCTTGTAGAGCCCCCTTTAAGGAAACCTTTGAAGGAACCCCGATTCTAATTCTGAAGGCCTCTATATCATATAACCCTTGTAGAGCCCCCTTTAAGGAAGCCGTTAAAGGAACCCTTATTCTAATTCTGAAGGCCCCTTCTATCATAGAACCCTTATCTAGACCCCTATAAGGAAGCCGTTAAAGGAACCCTTCTAATTCTGAAGGCCCTTTAAGATTACCAGGAGCCTCCGGAGTCTATTCGTGCACTTCGCCGACGGGAAACTCGTAAGTTTCTCAAAGACTTCAAAGACTCTGGGCTTTTAATATAGGGCTTCCGAAAACAGGGGGACCCGAATGTAGCACCCCAAATAGTAGGATCCTTATGTAAGGACCCTAAAATAAGGTACCCCGAATTTTCGAAAACTCCCATATAGTAAGTACCTAGACTATTTTGGGGGGGCTCCTTGTTTTGATTATGGTATAAAGGCCCCTGCATTGGGCGGTTTTCGGGTTTAGGTTTCTGGGGTTTCATGAGGGTCAATCCTCTTCACGGAATCTGGGCTTTCGGGGGGGGTTGGGTTTTGGGGTTGAGGGTGCGGGCTTTAGGGTGTAGGATTTTGGGTGGTTTAGGGAGCAGGGCCTTTCATTATCCTTCAGAGACACGGACCAAGGAATTCTTGGAGCAACAGCCCAGCTTGGCTGAGACAGGACTTTGGGGGGCGAGAGCTGCAGAGGGGTGCAATCCCTGTAAAGGGATGTAAAGGACCCCCAGCTGAGCGAGCAATGATCGTGCGACTAGTATAGAGGTCAATCAAACTCTAGTAATCGTATCCTTTTAACGTCCCCATGCAAATAGTTACCCAAGTCCACTTATGATTCACATCCCGTAGCCCTCGTCTAAGTTTTTAGGCCCCTATCCTCTGTCCCCAACGGTGCAGGACGCTTGCCGCACAGCCGTTGCCCGGACCCGGTCTCTGCAGAGCGCAGATTACGGCTGAGCACAGCTGCACAAGGCACCCACATGTAGGGGAAATGAGCGATGTTGTAATACAAAGGCTGCATACTTTTGCTCTAATATAGCATGATTCAATAATACCCTATGATGTTGAATATGATATAGTAATGTAGTTCGACAGTATTCATGTCTTCCGACACTTCCCGGCATAGCCTCGGAGTTTGTCGGATGCAAACACCGGACATGAAAAGTCCTCCGTTCCTCTTCTTGGGTCAGTCAGTTCTGTCGGAATAGAAGCAATCGTTGTGTCTCTCTCTCCATCTCTCCCTCTCCCTCTCTCTCTCTCTCTCTCTCTCTCTCTCTCTCTCTCTCTCTCTCTTTCCCTCTCTCGCTGCTTCCATATGTACATGGAGACACGCATACAGACAGAAAGACAGACAGTGACATACGTGGACGAAAAGGCTGAACCCTTCCCGGTTCATGCACGTGTTCGGGTGTCGACGTGCTCGTCGTGGCAAGTCGTCTACGCAGGGCTGTAAGCTTCTCTTTAGTGTCTGTGCGGTTGGAATCTTCCTCCACTTCGGAATCGGTGTTAGCTTCAAGGATTCGATTCAGGGTTATGGGTCACACGGCGAACTCCTCCAGGACAGCACGTGCCGCCGGTGGATGGAAATCAATGGTTCGCCGACAACCGGAGAGACCATGACTTTGCTCAGGCAAGGGCATATCCGTTGCGAACCAAGGTTAGCGGATGATGTTGCTGCCGGAGGGTTGTAGGGCTGGTGCCAGACTTGTGCCATCCCTTAGCTGAGAACCGCTGACGGCATCCCATGTCGGGCACCTCTCACATGAATGTAGCGGTGTATGGATATGCAACAAGTATGCATAGGCCTATACGTATGTAAGTGTGCAAGTAGGTATGTATGCATTAATGTATGTATGTGTGTATGCGTGTATTTATGCACGAACGATGCCTATGATAGTCACATCCGTATGTGGGTATGTACATGCACTATTGGCACTATTTGGTAATACTACACACCATGATTATGATTGTAAACAGCATCATAACAACAATCAGAACCATAACCAGGAAAAGATGACGAAGAAGACTACATCTAGTTCTATTACAACAATCAGAACCATAACCAGGAAAAGATGACGAAGAAGACTACATCTAGTTCTATGTTTCTCTGCGGCGATGGTACAACGTCCAACTAACTCTGAAACTCCAAACCCTTTGAAAACCCCTGCCATGCGGGCTCGTCCCTGCGAAGTAGGGGACAAAAACCCAAAGATCCTAAACCGCACCCTAAAACCCTAAACCCAAAAAACCAGCAGACCTCAAACCTGATGCCTGGCCTGGATTGTCCGAGTGTGAGCACCGAAACTCCTCAGCTGTCGAGCCCCAGCCAGGGGCCCGGCTGGGACTTTGCCTGGTCGGGCGGCAGTTCATCAAGCAACGCCAGGCCTGGAAACTCTGCCTTGGGATTCCCGAGTTTAGTTAGTAGGCTGAAGTCCCGCCCAAACTACGATTCTCATTACACCTATACATTCGGCGTGTTGTATTAGTATAGTTAGTAGATATAAGCTCCTTCCCAACATACGATTCTAGTTACGCCGCTTCGCGTTGTCGAGCATTGTGGGGTAGGCATGTGCAAGCCGAAGCTCCGCCCCCCTTGTAGAACTCAGAATGCTCGCTTGAACCCGACAGCTCCGCGAACTCAGAGCTTTTGCAGCCATGAGTTGACAGAAGTCATCTCTGTTGCCAGGAGCACCTTCGAGAGGTGCCGACATGTTGATGAGGTGCGGAGTCAGGCTTTGGACACTTACCGGGCACTACCTGGACTGTTCGGTCTTGGCTGTAGAAGCTGGAGTTTTGCTTCGTTGCTTCAGCTTCGTGTGGCAGACTGCGACTACAATCATCGAAAAGCATCTGCTGCCGGCAATCTGCGGCCAGGCCCCGGGCGGACTGCCAGCGACAGGGGCCACACACCTGGGCCGAGAAAGCGCGCAGCGCCAGAGCCCCGTTGGCTTGGTGCGTCAGCGGCGTGCCGAAGGGCCAGAGAGAAGGCTGGCTGACGTGAAGTCCTCTGCACTGCTACTCGTACGCTGGCACACATTCCTTTATCCGTGGTTGCAATGATCATAGCCCAAGCTGTAGGTACAGTAGCTGGGGAGGCGAAATCCTGGCGACAAATCTTGGAAGTTCAGTTCTTGAAGCCGAACACAAGGAAGGCTTGAATTGCAGGACCATCCCACAAACTCTTGGGGCAACACCAAATCCCCAAACCTCGAGAGCAACTCTCGATGTGTAAGTCGTGTCAAGCTGTTCTGGAGCGGGGTCGCTTGTCGAACTCCTGTTTTTTGGGGGCGGGGTCTGCTGCTCCAAGGCCCTAGCGTCTTGGAGCGCATCTCCCATGTGGGGAACAACCCAAGTGTCCCGTCCCATCACGTCCCACTCCCGTAATCTTTGTCATTGCCGACGTATTTCGGGCAAGTTGCGGGTTTTCAAATCAAATCCTTCATGCTCTCCTCAGTCTTCCCCAGCGGTCGTCCGTATACCGTGAATTTCCGCCTTCGGCGGTGAAGAGTGGGCTTGTGGTGATGAGAGCCCTCATGACATGTTGCGGTGCAGTTGTCCGCCTGCTGCCGTTGTACGCGTAACAGCTGTGACACTGGGACAACACATCCGCGGCTTTGCCCTAACCTGGTCTGCAGGTGGTATAGATCGCCGCTATCGAGATCCTTGAGCCCTGGCGAAGGGACGTCCCCAGCCACTTTGGCTCAGGGCCAGTCGCGGGCGACTTTCAACATAGGAGAGCTCTCTAGACGGCAGGGTCATTTGAACCCGGCGGGCGGAAGTGGGCCACGAGCTGGCGTTGACGATCTCTGGTACCAGGGCATTTGCACAAAGCCCGCTGCTCCCTCTGCACCTCCATCACCCAGCACGGGCTTCTGGGGTTCGGACGCAGGACACGGTGAGCTGCATCGGTGAGGATATTTGTGTGCAGACTATATAGTCTTGGTTTAGGCCTTTTATGTGCCGGCAAGACCCTAAGACCCTACTACCCTCAAGCGGAAATGAACAGGACCTTTCTGCAGCACCGATTGCAGCGGCAACAAACAAGACGTGACTTGCCGCCCAGTTACGGCTTTATGCCTCTTTAACTTCGAAGCGGGCCGGATCCAAGGAGAGTGCTCGTGCTTCAGGCTCAGACGCCCTTCTCGTTTTAATAGGGAGCACAGCCACGCCCCAAACTCTAGATCCCTAGTGGCTGGAGTGAGTGAGATCTCTGACTGCATCTCCAACCGAAAGTCAGCCAGTCCTTTATCCTGGAGACGAGCCATGATGCCTGCCTACGAACCAACCCTGTGAGAGTTGAAGAACTTTTGAAGCTCCCAGAAGCCACCATTACCAATGTGCATATTTTTTTAGATAATTGTTGGAATTATTGGTATTTTTATTGGTATCATTGTTAGTATTAATGGTCTTATTGCTATTATTATTGGCATCATCGATATTCGTATTATTGCAATGCCAGGCAGCCATGGCTGTGCAGGGACTTTTGCTGGCCGCCATCGCACAAGGCGCCCCCAATCGCTTGCGGTTGATGATATAAATCCTGCATTACCCATAATAAGGAATATACCATAGTTCCCATAGTTTAGGGTCCTTAAGGTAGTGCAGGATTTATATCATCAATCGCTTGCAAGGAGTGCAGTGACATAAGGCATCCTTCGTTTCCTAGCGCTGGAGCTTTAGGCCTAAAACATAAGGGAGTTTCCGAAAACTAGGGGTACCTTATTTTGGGTTCCTTATAGTAAGGATCCTACTATTTAGGCAACTATATTAGGGTCCCCTATTTTCGGAAACTCCCATATGATTGTCCATTCCAAAAAAAGTTCTTTGAAACCCAGTGGACTTCAAGCTTTGCTCTTTCCATCGGCTACGCTGCACCCGGCACTTTTCTGAAGACAGGGATGCAGTCCCCCTTCATGAAGAGGTGACAGCGTGCAGGTGGAAAACATCCTTGGGGGCTCCTCAGATGCCTCTTTGCAATGCAGATGACTTTTCCGGGCTTTTGCTTGCGTTACTGTGAGGTCCCACAGGGGGTTTGCTGGGAACTAGGATCCCTCCTGCTAAATATTGCTCAAGCTGCTGCCCTTTACAGGGAGCCTCTTGGGCCCTAGTCCCCTACTCGCTGGCCCACGAGCCCCAAAACCCTGCACCTAAACTTCAAACCAACCAGAAGCTCGAAAGAACCCAATCCATCAACACAGCATTCTCAAGAGCCGTTTACCTAGATACTACATCCTTAGCAAAACTCTACAGCCGCCCCCACCCCCCAGAAGAAACAAAAATCAAAGGAAAGGCGAACCCAGAGCCCTTAGGATGACATCCCGGAGCTGCTGGAGCTGCGTGATGAGCGTGGCCGCACCCCTCTCCACTGTGCCGCAAGGTACGGCCACGCGGAGGCCGGTAGTAGGGTTTGGGTCTAGGATGATATTGACGGGCCACAGGGCCAACTGCAAGGCCTCCCCCCAGTCTTGCGATCAGCAGGACAGCTGTTTAGGGCCAGCTCGCAAATCGGACAATACTTGCACTTGGTGTGTCTTTTCTGTTGTGTGCGTGTGTGTGTGTGTGTGTTGTGTGTGTGTGTGTTGTAGAGCGATTGTTAAGGCTGTTACACGCGACTTACATAGGTTCTATTCTTCTGTCGTTCTCAGGCTCGGGTGCCGATTCATGGAGGTCTACATGGTTTGGTTCTGGGCTTGACGGTTTTGGTGTTTGCGTGCGTATGGTTTCGGGTGGACATGTGCAGCACCGCAAAACTGTGCAGAGTTAAGATTGCCATGGTTGCCTCATGTGCTCGTGTCCAAACCAAGAGACAGAGATGCGTACTTACCTGCATGCGTGCGGCATACCTACATGCAAGCATAGTAGTCATAGTAGATAACCAAAGTTGCGAGAGTATGAATGGCAGCCACACGCAGGTAAGATTATGCAAGCGTTCTGTCGTCGAAGGTTTGCTCTGTGCTGCTGCAGAGACGAGCTGACATCCATGCCCCAGCTGGCTGCTCGGCTAGCATAGGCTGCATAGTTACTAGGCGAAGTTGAGATACGGTCCAGGGTTTGGGTTTTGATTCAGTTTTGGGTTTAGCCCACTCACCTCCATGGCAGGAGCTGGCATTGCAGCTCTTGCTTTGGCTTGCTTGTGGCGCCATGGCGCAGTAGTGCGCCTTCTTCTGAAGAGCCGAGCTCGCCCGGAGCAGATAGATGACGGGGGACAGTCACTTGGACTTTCTTTTGAAAAACTGTTCATTCCTATGGGTCCTGCTCGGAAGTCCCACTGCATATAGTCTTGTCACGCACCTTGGCTTGTTTACATGTGCAGAGATGCATCTTAACTCAGGAGTGCTTTCCACTTCGCATCCTGGCCGCGACAGGGATTCGACCGACGCCCTCTTATTTCTCGCGTCGCAGAGCCCTCCCTTGCCGGAAACTCTGGAGGAAGACGTAGCACAGTCTGCGTGCAACAGTGTAGCTGGATGTCCCTGCAAAACTACGGCGTACCCAGCGGTTCCGTTTCTTCACGGCTTCGCATCAATCTCGTTAGTGGACAGAGAGCCCTTGTCAAAAAGCAGGCGCGTAGCTGCTGTTGTCGTTGTTGCTGTCATCGTGGATTCGTAGATGTGTTTGAGGTGGTCAAAGTAGTTGGTAGTCGTACGTAGTAGTAGAGGTAGCGGAAGTGGCAGCGGCAGTGAGTTAGTAGTAGTCGTCGGTCGTAGTAGTAGTAGTAGTAGTAGTAGTAGTAGTAGTAGTAGTGGTAGTAGTAGCAGAAGTAGTAGTTTTAGTAGTTTTAGCAGTAGTAGTAGTAGTAGTAGTAGTAGTAGTAGTAGTAGTAGTAGTAGTAGTAGCCGTCGTCGTAGCAGTAGCAGTAGTAGTAGTAGTAGTAGTAGTCGTCGTAGTAGTAGTAGTAGTAGTAGCATCTAGTAGCGGCAGCAGTAGCAGGAGCAGTAGCCGCAGTGGCAGTGGCAGTAGCTGCTCTAGTCGTCGTCGTAGTAGTAGTAGTAGTAGTTGTAGTTGTTGTTGTTGTTGTTGTTGTTGTTGTTGTTGTTGTTGTTGTTGTTGTTGTTGTTGTTGTTGTTGTTGTTGTTGTTGTTGTTGTTGTTGTTGTTGTTGTTGTTCTTTTCATTGTAGCAGTAGTAGAAGTAGTAGTCGTAGTAGCAGCAGCAGCAGAAGTCGTAGTATTAGCAGTGCTGGTGATGGTAGTGGTGGCAGCAATGGCATCAGCTGTGTTTTTTTTTTTTTATGCAGTTGCTGACGATGGGTGTCATCAATGTGATCGCTGCTGGTGCTTCTAGGATATTTCACGCAAGCTTCCCTCTAATATTGATGGAAAAAAGTAGTTGCATTGGGCCATCAACCCGAATATCCCGGTGAAACTTCTCTAAGAGTGAATATCCCAGGCATGCTGCAACAGCCCGGAGATTGTTCACGACTTCTTGCAGCAGAACCCAAGCCTAGCCTTCCTCAAGGACGATTTCTCAAGCAAGCTCGAAATGCATCTGGGGTGTTGAAAACTTCAGACGCTAGGCTAGCTTGGGGTGTGTCAGGATTTGTTGTTATTTCACTTCTACTGGACGTGTGGGGTTTGTGGTGATTAGAGAGACAGCTGTTGTTGGATGGAGTGCAGGGGTTCCAGTACAGAAAGACGAAGCGCAAGCTTGCAGCATGACTTCAAGTAGCATGACCGCCAACAGTGCCGCTGAATTTCTGTAGAACACGGAGAGTTCGTTTTTGCTGGCAAAACGGCTTTTGCCAGGACGCGCAGAGCCGCAATCCGCTTTGCTATGCGGTGGGCAACAACAGTTCCGAAGCGAAGATGGAAATTCTGAGCATGCTGCTAGAGGCGAAATGCCGCGCCAGTGAGGCGTGGAATCTTGGATGCCGTTGCCGTGTCTGGTGAAGGAAGTTATAGCATGTGGTGGTATGCATGGAAGTACGAGAGAGCAGAGAGCCATTCATACAAGCAGGTTGATGTTTTCGGTCGATCTGCGCTGCACTATGCCGCTCAATCAGGCAGGCTTTCCCGTGCATCAGGTGCTCCCGCATAATTCTTGCCTGGTACCTTTGCAGGTGATGTGGCCACAGTGGAGGAACTAAAGCGGGCCATCGACCAGGAGGTTCCACCTTGTCCTCTACGAGATCTTCAGGCCGCTGCTGTTTTCGGTCAGCGGCCTCGGGGTTCCAAAGGCACACGATGCTTTAAGAGCCTACGCTGGGTTTAGCAGTTTGTGCCGAGGTCGCTCATAGTCATGTACGATTTGTGTGTGTCTGTTGTCAGGAGCTAAAGCTACGGTCTGTTAGAGAACATAGACAAGCAGTGCAAGGGGGCAAAGGCATACATCACAGCACACTTAGCACCCGAGACTGTATCCTGTGCCGGACATGCACCAGAGCAGTCAAGCAAGAATGAGGTGCTTTAGACTAAAGCATCACATGAACTGTCGAGGTTGCAGCGCATTGCGTGGACGCTGCCCTGGTTGAGGAAGACCAAAGCCAGGAAGTTACAGAGGCTGTCGCAGCTGCACAGTCCACGTTCAGTGACAATTACGAGAAGACTCGGGAAATTGCAGAGGCAGCTCCAACAGCCGGAGCTGCGCACGAGGGGCGGAAAGGCGAAACCAACGACACAGAGGCAGCTGCCAGTGCTGAGGAAGACCGACAGAAAGCCGCAGATGCGACAGAGGCAGCTGCTGCAGAGGAAGAGCGACAGAAGAGTGAATCCACAGATGTGACAAAGGCAGCTGCCACTGCTCAGGAGGTGCGACGAGAGCGACAGAAAAGTGAAGCCGCAGATGCGACAGAGGCAGCTGCTGCTAGTGCTGAGGAAGAGCGACAGGACAGTGAATCGGCAGATGCAGAGGCTGCTGCTGCTGCTGAGGATAAGCGCCGGCAGAGTGAAGTCGCGGAAGCGGTCGAGGCAGCTGCTAGTGCTGAGGAAGACCGACAGAAGACTGAATCCGCAGATGGGACAGAGGCAGCTGCTACTGCTGAGGAAGAGCGACAGGAGAGTGAAGCCGCAGATGTGACGGAGACGGCTGCTGCCATGGCTGAGGAAGAGCGAAAGCAGAATTTGTTCGCGGAAGCAGTGGAGACAGCTGCGAGTGCTGAGCAAGATCGACAGAAGAGTGAAGCCGCAGATGCGACAGAGGCAGCTGAGGACGAGCGCCGGCAGAGTGAAGCCGCTGAAGCAGTCGAGGCAGCTGCTAGTGCTGAGCAAGAGCGACAAAACAGTAAATCCGCGGCTGCCACACAGGCAACTGCTGAGGCAGAGCGACAGCAGAGTGAAGTCGTGGGCACTCTGCAGACAGCTGCCAATGTTGAGGAAGAGCGAAAGGAGAGTGAAACCGCAGATGCGACAGAGGCAGTTGCTGCCACTGCTGAGGAAGAGCGACAGCAGAATCAAGCCGCAGAAGCAGTGGAGACAGCTGCTAGTGCTGACCAAGATAGACAGAAGAGTGAAGCCGCAGATGCGACAGGGGCAGCTGCCATTGCTGAAGAAGAGCGAGAAGAGAATGAAGCCGCGGAAGCCGTGGAGACAGCTGCCAGTGCTGAGCAAGAGCGACAGGACAGTGAATTCGCAGATGCAGAGGCTGCTGCTGCTGAGGATGAGCGCCGGCAGAGTGAAGTCGCGGAAGCGGTCGAGGCAGCTGCTAGTTCTGAGGAAGAGCGACAGAAGACTGAATCCGCAGATGGGACAGAGGCAGCTGCCAATGCTGAGGTGGAGCGACGGCAGAATGAAGTCGCACAAGCGGTCGAAGCAGCTGCTAGTGATGAGGAAGAGCGACAGGAGAGTGAAGCCGCAGATGTGACGGACACGGCTGCTGTCATGGCTGAGGAAGAGCGAAAGCAGAATTTGTTCGCGGAAGCAGTGGAGACAGCTGCGAGTGCCGAGCAAGATCGACAGAACAGTGAAGCCGCAGATGCGACAGAGGCAGCTGTCATTGCTGAGGATGAGCGCCGGCAGAGTGAAGCCGCGGAAGCAGTCGAGGCAGCTGCTAGTGCTAGTGCTGAGAAAGAGCGACAAAACAATACATCCACAGCTGCGACACAGGCAACTGCTGAGGCGGTGCGGCAGCAGAGTGAAGTCGTGGGCACTCTGCAGACAGCTGCCAGTGTCGAGGAAGAGCGAAAGAAGAGTGAAACCGCAGATGCGACAGAGGCAGCTGCCACTGCTCAGGCAGCTGCCAGGACTGAGCGGCAAGAGGCGGAGGGGCAACCGAAGAACGGTGGCACAGAGGAGCTGTTGCGAGAAGCCACGGAAGGAGTGCCGGAATTCCTGTCGCTCGACAGCCTTTGCGAAGCCCACAAGCACGAAGGTGCAGAAGTGCAGGCCGCTTCCGGGGCTGATGAGGCAGAACAGGAACGACAAATGTGGGAGGACAGAGCTCGAGCAGCTGCCACAGTGATGGGCAGGTATGGAGAGAAACGACAGACAGCTCTTTCGCCGGCTGGCAGCTGGGAGGCTTCGGGAGCAAACCTCACAACAGCAACGTTGAGTCGTTTAGTCTTGTCGTTGAACTATGTCGTGGGTTCCGCTATCATGGGATGCAAGCCAGTTCAGGCTTCAGACATGTACAGCAGCTTGTTGGGGCACGGAGCTGTTCACATGCACGGCCTTGGCGCAGAAAGCTCCTGGCAGGAGAGCCTCTTCTTGATGCTCCGAGAAGAAGCGGCGATCACTGACAGCCGTGACTCTGGAAGCATCACGTACCGAGGAAACATCCGAGAGGGAGCCAAGAATTGTTGGATTTCTTTTCCCGGAAAGTATGCTTCCGCTTGGAAAGCTTTGACGGAGGAGAACCAGGGAGACTCAGTGGCTTGTGTGTTCCTCTGTACGAAAGAAGACGGCCTTTGCCTTGGTCGTTGGGGTCCCATTCCTAGTGTCCACTTGAGAGCCCATTTACTTTTTCGTAACCGGCGAAACCCGAAACACTTTTGGAAAGCCGCGCAGTGAGCATGCAACGTGGGTTGAGCCCTTGCAGCTTTCCTTCCAAGGCCTGGGTGTGCATCTGAAGGATCCTCAAGAGCACGAGTGGGACAAAAGCAGTGGACCTCGATATGAGATCGACGAGGAGTCCGGCAAGATCAAGTTCAGACCCGATGTTGTGAAGGACCCGAAAAAGCCAGGAGAGAGGTGCTACTGCCACCGAATCTATGGAAGAAGGGGCTTCAAGCAGTTTGGGTACTACCGGGAGCTGCGAAGGCCGTTCACCCCAGAGAGGGTGCAGGAGGAGACTGCCACAGCCGAAGCGATGAATGCCGAATGGATCAAGGAAGATGCTCTTCCGGAAGTGAAGGCGGCGGCGAGGGAACGAGCCAGGGCCACGTGGGAGACACACGGCGGTATCGCAGCTTGGGGCTGCGCGTGGTTTGAAGTGTGGTTCGACAGAGTCACGGAAGCGGTCTCCAAACATCAACGTCTCAAAGCAGTCTTCTTCCCAGGGCAGGAGGGTCAGGGAGTTGTACCCATGGATGAGCTTCCGGAGGCAGACCTTTGGGATGGGATTGGCTGCGGAGGTTCCCAGAAATCTGAGATTGCCACAGTGAACCACATGAGGGAGACTGAAGGCCCACGCTGGGACTACGACGAAGTCAGCGTTGCAAAGTTCTTACACAGTGAATTCGCAGACGGCTGTGTGGTTGAGGGCTGGTGTGAGGAGGAACGGGTGTGGAAGAGAGGCATCCTGGAGCATCAAGAGATCGAGATGCGGAAAGTACCACGAGAGGAAGACGGGGTGACGCGCATGGTGGAGGTTGCAGATGTTGTCTTCGATATACACTGCGAAGGCGAGAGTGGGAAGCTTAGAACCAAGGACATCCGCCACGTGGGCCGGCTAATGGAGGACATGATGCAAGAGTTCGGTCCGGAGCTAAGGAATTGATGCAAGTGCCAGCAACTCGTAACTCGTGCGTATCTCATGCTGTCGACCTGCTGAAACCAGACTGGACACAGAATCTTGTCACTATCTGGCCCTCAAGGTACCCCACGAGGAGCCCTGATTTTGCCTGAGTGTAACTTTGTAGACCACCCTGAAAATTTCAATGCAAAACCCTAAAAACCTGCGAACTTTCAGACGAGCTAAGCGGGCTTTCCGCCGAAGCTTTCTGGGTTTACACAACCTGGGCAGTACACGAGATACTGGCATTTGGGAGTTACCCGACACTCTATACGCTGGCTTTGTAAGGGTTCCTAGCAAGCTGCTACAAGGCGGGTCGGCTTCCGATACCTCAAAGTGCTTGGGGGTTCGAACCTTTGAGCGTGACTCTTTTTGTTGCGGCTCGGGTTCAGGGGTGAGGCTTTTCGGGACCTAGGGTTAGGGATCAGGGTTTATTTGAGAGTCCTAAGGAACGGCCGGGGGAGGGGTCTACGGCCTGGGATGTGTTGGCCTTGGAGCCTGGAAGCATGCTGCATTTACCATTGACATGCAACATGCAGCATCCAGAAGGTTGTCAGGGTCATGGTCCGGCGTTGATTTGATAATTGACTATAATGGCTAGCGGCTACGGCGCCGAGTGTAAAAGTCGAAGTTCAAGTTAGCCACAGCTTCGTATGCCTCAAAATAGAGCAGCCACATACGGCCTTTGCAATTGCATGGGTGATCCTCACGATTATCCAGGGCTTCCACGGACGAGCAGTCACTCAATCACTGCCGGATAGTCCATATCAGTTGGAAGCAGTGCTGTGGAGTTGACTCAGGTTTACAGAACGTGACGCAGTCTGCTCTGGAGTGCTTGAAGGATATGAATATCAAGCTGCTGGGGTGCAGTTTCGATCACTCGGCATTGCGCTTGGACCTTGGCATTCAAGACATCCGCTCTCTTCAAGCCCTGCGTGATCGAGTCTTAGACGGCTCCTTCGAAAGGGAGCTGACGCAGAAGCTGGCTCCTGATCAGAGTCTCAGGGTGCACGTAGACAAGAGCCGGTTCTTTACGCTTTACGAAGATAGCTTGCAAGGGCTCGAGGGTCTCACAGCTCATCAGATGGAGAAGCTGGAGGAGATGGACGGTGAGAGAGACGTCCATCTATCCGCCCCGGCCGGGGCCGGGAAAACCTTTGTTGCGATGCAAAGAGTTCTGGAGGGACTAGGGGGGCCCGCCTCCGATGCACGTGTCCTCTATGTGGCGCCTTCGAAGGCTCTTCTTTTGTTCTTTTTGCGATGGCTGGCCATGCGCCTAACACCCCAGACAGATGCAGATGGGCCCTCCAACTTCGAGAATTTTGAAAATGCTTTGCAGAGGCTTTTCCTGCTTCACCATCCATACAATCGCTTCATCTTACCAGAGCTCCAGCAAGGTCGAATCATTCTGCGCTCCAGGCCACCAGAGGCAGAAGACCCGATGTTCCATCTGGCCGTCTACGACGAAAGTCACAAGATCTTCGGTGAGGACGCTGTGGACAGGACGTTGCTGGATCGTGTGAATGCCTTGAGGCGGCTCTTTCTATCTGATGAAGCGCAGTCGTCGGCCGTGCTGCATTCCTTTCCCGCCGCGAAGCACGTGAAGTTGTCTGAGGTTGTTCGCAGTACCGAGAGGATCGTACTGGCCGCTGCGATGTTCCGATACAGCTCCGATGAAGCCGAAAATGTCACCTCTCATGGCAAGTCGTTGGGGCCACCCCTGAAAACTTTTCTTTTCAAGCTGGATGATGAAGACAACAGGTTTACGCAATATGCGAAGCAAGTTGTGGCGGCCCTGTGGCATGCAGTCCGAATGTTTCCGAACATGAGCCTTCATGGCCGTGTTGCAATCCTGGTCCGGGATCAACACTTCCGGCGTCAGCTTTATTTGCACTTGCAGCAGGCTCTGAACGAAGACCTCCGTCATCGTCGCTTGCAGATACTGTCTTTCGCAGAGTCGTTGCTCCAGCTTCCTGAGCGTCTCCTGAAGAGCTCATCGCAGCAGCACCGGGAGTGCATCGTATTGGATTCTTTGGAAAATGCCGATGGCATAGAGCAACTCATCGTGATATGCGTTGGCCTGGATGAGCCCTTGAAGAAAGACGGGGATCAGAACTTCTGCTCGCAGCTTTACCGGGCACTTACGAGAGCACAGCTGCTGGCGATGGTTGTAAACGAGCACGTCCAAGGTGGGGCGCTAAACCGAAAACCTAAACCCTAAGCCGTTAAACCCTTAGTTACCCCAGTTGTGAGCGCTGGAACCCGTAATTAAGCCTGAAACCCTGAACCCTTAAACCCTTAAGCCTGTGTGAGCGCCGAAACCCTGAAGCCCTGAACCGTTGTACCCTTATGTAAGCCTGGACGAAGGGCAGACATACAAAGGAGCTCAAAAAAAAATTGGTACCCTTAACCCTCAAACCTTAAACCCTCCAAGACCCTGCAATGCGGGCTTCGTCCTTGCCAAGTAGGAGGGGAAAATACACCCTCCAAGGTGGTTTGCTGGAGTTTCTTGGAGCCGTCCGTTTCTCCGACCGCAAGGCGGCAAGGCCCCCGAACTGCCAGGAGGTTGTCCGAAGAGCGGTTTCTTTGTCATAGTTGGATAGGGTTTAGGGGTTTAGGGTTTAGGTTGTGTTTTATTGGGTGCTTAAACCCAATAAGGAGTAGAAGTTTAGATGTGTAATACTACAACAACCATGCGCTCTAGGTTTATGAGCAGAGCGGTTCGGAGACGGGCAAGGCCGAAGACGACGCAGCCGAAGCCCCTGCCACGAAGATGCCCGCTGATGGCGGCTATGTGGAGACATTACCCTCAGGCCAGAGACCCAAAAAGGAAATAAGCATCAGCACTGTATAGGGATATCCCTAAGGGGGTTTGTATGGGATATCCCTATCCTTAGCAGGCCCCGACACAACAACTTCGAGGACGGACGCAGCTGCACAGCCCCAGCCCCGCCGTGATTCTGCCACAGAATGCACAGCTGCGGATCCTGCACGGTTTTTGCAGGCACGGGCTTCCGAGGCTCCGCAGATGACTGATATCTGGGATACTCGTGATAATGCAATTCCACATGCGACCGCCCTGCAGTTCAATCCGATGACGCAGGCCGGCAGAGGCTGAAGGTTCACTGCGATCCTCACGCAGATGAGACTGTGAAGGGTTGAAACATGTTGCAGTCTCAAGCCGCAGTCAAGCGCAAGGAACCGGGCAAAGTTTCATAAAATAGCAAGGGCAGGAGCACACTCCACCGCCGTTATTTGTTGGGCTGGCATAGCCAAATTCCTTGCTGGCTGCGGCGCGGTAACTGTCACTAGATGTTGTTGTTTTGGATCGATGGTGCAGCAATGCTTCCTGAGGTGTGCGAGAGGTTGTTCCTGACAGTGAACCTGGCAACGGCAGACCCAGTCTTTCACGGCGATAACGAGACGTCTTTTCATGGCCTCATCCGGCCTCAGGCCGATGCGTGCTGGATCAGTATACCTGACCATCTCGAGGCTGCATGGAAACCCGTTTGCAGAGCTGCACCACGACCAATCCGTGGCAGATGTCTTGTTCTGTACTCGGGAGGGCGGTCCATGCCTCAGAACCGGACTCGTGCTCTTGTCGGCCCAAATAGATGTACACGAAGCTAGGCAACTCATGGTCTTGCATTACTCGCTTCTTGCTGCCTGTTCTGGAACAAGTTCTCAAACTGCGACTGTAATTGTTGTGTGATGCATGTCCAGTCGTTTGAACTCGGCACAGCGGTTCAGTCAGAGGGTGAACATCATCGCGTTGTACAGCTGTTGCCTTACCTCTAGCATGCCAGAACACGTGATCAGACATATAGGAGTTTCCGAAAATTAGGGGTACCTTATTTCGGGGTTCTTGAACTAAGGATCCTACTATTTAGACTACTATATTGGGGTCCCCTGTTTTCGGAAATCACCATATGATTCGGATCGAGTTGCTAAGGCCTGGGCCAGCACGTCTCGGACCCAGAGAACCCAGGCAAGTGCTACTGCGCTCGGATATACGGAGAGCGCGACTACCAAAGGTTTGGATACCTTTGGACAGTGGATGACTTACAAGAGACCAGGAAAGGCAGAGCTGCGGAAATGGCCGCGACGCAAGCTGTGATTGTACGTTCAGATGCCATGGAAGAGGAAAGAGAACGTGCGCAGCGGATGGCCGTGTTGCAATGGATGCGATGTGGCAAGACGGCTTCATGGGGCTGTGCTTGGTTCGAGAGATGGTTGTCAAATGTGCGCAAAGCTGTCTCGAAGAAGCAGCGCCTTCTGGTGGCTTTTCTTCCTGGACAAGTGGGACAGGGGAAAGTGCCCATGCGCGACCTTCCAACAGCCGATCTTTGGGATGGAATTGGCTTGACTGCGAAGCAGAAGGTGCAAGTTGCAATTGCAGAGGAGATGGGCTGGGAGTATGAAGGAATTGATGTCGGTGATCTCCTGCGGACTGCGTTTCCTGAAGGATGCCTCGCAGACGCGATGGATGAGTCTGGTTGGTGGCGACTGTGCAAACTGGGACAGATGACTTTTGAAGACAAATCGTTTTCTTGGGCTGCACGTTCCCTGGCATCAGGGGAGGAGTTCAAGGTCATACGTGTTCAGCATGTAGGACGCGAAGTTCTTTCTCTCATGGAAACTGTTGGCCGGGGCCTGAGGATTTCTATGGCTGAGTTCCCAGTGAAGCATAAGTCGTGGAGGCAGTAGTGACAAAAGTACAAGCACGTTTGTTCTTGAACCCTCCAATGCAAACTGCAGCTGAACATTGACATGAGGAGATTTCAGCAAGGAAAGAGTGAACTGGAAAAGGAGGCAAGATCTAGCTCAATGAGGCTCCAGGACCAGTGCAGATCGCACGGTAAGAGTGCACGTCGTCGGCAGCATGCTGCGCACTATCGAGTCTTTGTCCATCCGCCTTAGTTAAGGGCATGAAAAACGTCCAATTCAGCTGGCTGAGCTTGCAGCGGTCTCGACTCAACAGAGGTCGCAGGCGTCGCTGCTAGATGTTCAACGCCTGCTAAATATCACCCGTGCATGCAACAAATGTGGTCCGGGCATAGTGTCAGCAGAAGGCCAATGTAAACCTTCGCCATAGATCTAGCGGGATGGGCCAAGGTCCTGACTACGTGTTTGATTTCCTATGTCGTGGACTCGTGGACACGGAGGTGCTGCAATGCGAGAAGGCAGTAGCCCCGAGGGGTGGGCATGCCCTTTGCCTAACCATCCAGTGCTCCAACTCCCACGCTCTCCAAAAGCTCGGGCAGAAAGTCACTTAGCAGCTGAGTGGATACACTTTACACTTTTTGGGATAATATTTACCCACTATAAAACTGCAAGTGTACACTTTTTGGGGGCTGATGAACTCAGCCGCTAAGGTTCTGGATGGTGAGCTGGAGCGAGTCTGGAACACGAGGCTCCGAGCCAAAGGCTGGCTCTGGCCTGTTCAATTAGACAGAACCCGCTTCGCAGAGCTCTCCTCGGAGGATCAGGCCGTGGCCTCAGTAGAAACGGGTAGCTTAAGGGGTGGGTCCAGCTTTCTGTGGTTGGGCATCTGAGCATCCGGATCCGCTTGAATAGTTGGTTTCTGAGTTAGTGGACATAGAAGTTCGTTCTTCAACGAGCCTATTGTCCTTTCCTGCAGCCGACTCGAGCACCCAGAAGATCCCTCAAAACCTTGAGCCCTTTAACCCTAAACCCGTCAATCCTCCGATAAAAATGGAACGATACAGAGAAGACTAGCAGGGCCCCTGCGCAAGGATGACACGAACAAATCGATAAGTGTACCAGAGTGCGAGTGTCAAAACCCATCATCGGTAGGAGGGAAAACCCACCAAAACAGTCAGAGGATCCCTTCCCGGGCGTGAGCTGGCAGTGGTTGCATCGGACCGGCCTTTTGGGCAGCAGTGCAACAAGCCTTTGTGAGCCAGGCAGAGATGGCTTAATGTAGGGGCCTTAAAAATTACATGGGGAATTTAGAGTCTCCTTGTCATAAGTATACAGTAGAGTATATAATACACCCGAAATCCCACATTAGCGACGACCGCGCCGAGGCTTCCCTGGTCCCGACTGTCTTTGGACTGAGGTTGGAGAGACTACCCCCGCGACGTGATGACCAAGATCGAGCAAGCTTATCGTGCCGGGGAGACCACAGTCCAGTTTGAAAATGGAAAAAGGCTCGGGCCTGTCGCTGCCCGCGTTGTCGTTCGTTGTTGCTAGTGCTAGTGGACTTTTTCTTATCATTCTTAATAATATTAGTACTGATGTCATTGTCATTGTTGTTATTGCCTGTCATTGCTCTTACAGTTAGCACACCTATTTCCGTGGTGCGTTTTCTTTTCTTCTAGGTACTGATATTAGCCTGGTTATTGTTATATGTTTTCCTGTTGTTCTTATGATTGTTATTCTTTGTGTTATTACCAGTGTCATTGTTATTGCGATTGCTTATTGTAACAAGATACTCCTTGTTATTATTACATATGATTGATACTATTCATATTACTATCAGTATTCACTTTGTCATTTACTATAATTAGTAGGTCAATCAGGATTAGAATTATGATTGTTATTAGTACCTTTATTGTTATTGTTGTCATGACTGACTTCCCTTCTGGTTGGGTACGGCCCCCACTCAGCAATTGTTGAATAATGTTCACAATATAGATATATTAGGTCCTTAATATTTGCCTTATTATAGACTCTTACTGCATGGGGGCCGTACCTAACTCGCAGGTCAGGATCCGACGCCTTGGAGATTTCATTTGAGGCCCGGCACTTTTCGAGTTAGGTCCCAGCCTGACAGCTCGGGCCGAACAGGGTTTAGGACTTTAGGGCTTTCAGGTTTAGGGCTTCAGGGCTTTAAGTTTTAGGACTTCAGGGCTTTAAGGTTTAGGGCTTTGGGTTTCGGATCCGAGAGAGGTCCCCCAGTGATCCCGGGCACAAGGGCGCAAGGGCACAAGGGCACAAGGGCACGGCAAGGGCACGGCAAGGGCACGGCAAGGGCACGGCAAGGGCACCACAAGGGCACGGCAAGGGCACAAGGGCACAAGGGCACAAGGGCACAAGGGCACAAGGGCACAAGGGCACAAGGGCACAAGGGCACAGGGGCACAAGGGCACAAGGGCACAAGGGCACAAGGGCACAAGGGCATGAGGGCATACGGGCACAAGGGCACAAGAGCGCGAATGCACATAGACATATATACAAATATACAAGTATACATATACACATGTATACATTTCTACATATGTACACATATACATATAACACGTATAAAACATACATATGTATGTACATATACAAAAGTACAGATGTACATATATACATCTATACATATATACACATATACGTATATAAACATGCACATAATTACTTATGTACATATACACATTTTGATATATATATATATATACATACATACATACATGCATGCGTGCATACATACATACACATATACATATGTACACGTACACATATATACACAAAACACGTGTACACATATACATATATACATTTATACATATATACATATATACACATCTAAATATATGCATCTACACAAGAATACATAATTACCCATACACATATACACATATACATGTACACATGTATACATATAAACATGAATAGAGTTGTGATTTTAAAATCAGGGGCGCCCCATCAGTCCGAGGCCCCATCCTCGGAGTTCAAGGGTGATAAGACTTCTGGTTTTAAAGACAGGACCGCCCTATCAGTCCGAGGCTCCGTCCTCGGAGTTCAATGGTGATAAGAGTTCTGATTCTGAAATCAGGGGCTCCACATTAGTCCAAGGCTCCATCCTCGGAGTTCAAGGGTGGTCAGAGTTCTGTTTTTTCAAAATCAAGGGCACCCCGTCAGTCCAAGGCTCCATCCTCGGAGTTCAAAGGGTGGTGAGAGTTTTGATTTTAAAATCAGGGGCGCCCCATCAGTCCGAGGCTCCATCCTCGGAGTTCAAAGGTGGTAAGAGTTCTCATTTTAAAATCAGGGGCGCCCCATCAGTCCAAGGCTCCATCCTCGGAGTTCAAGGGCGGTAAGAGTTCTGATTTTAAAATCAGGGCCGCCCCATCAGTCCCAGGCTCCATCCTCGGAGTTCAATGGTGATTAGAGTTCTGATTTTCAATCCAGGGGGTCCCATCAGTCCCAGGCTCCATCCTCGGAGTTCAAGGGTGATAAGAGTTCTCATTTTCAATCCAGGGGGTCCCATCAGTCCCAGGCTCCTTCCTCGGAGGTCAATGGTGATAAGAGTTCTGATTTTAAAATCAGGGGTGTTCAAGGGTGATAAGACTTCTGGTTTTAAAGACAGGACCGCCCTATCAGTCCGAGGCTCCATCCTCGGAGTTCAAGGGTGGTAAGAGTTCTGATTTTAAACTCAGGGGCGCCCCATCAGTTCGAGGCTCCATCCTCGGAGTTCAAGGGTGGTAAGAGTTCTCATTTTTCATCCAGGGGCGCCCCATCAGTCCCAGGCTCCATCCTCGGAGTTCAATGGTGATAAGAGTTCTGATATTGAAATCAGGGGCGCCCCATCAGTCCGAGGCTCCATCCTCGGAGTTCAAGGGTGACAAGACTTCTGGTTTTAAAGTCAGGACCGCCCCATCAGTCCGAGGCTCCATCCCCGGAGTTCAAGGGTGGTGAGAGTTCTGATTTTAAAATCAGGGGCACCCCATCAGTCCAAGGCTCCATCCCCGGAGTTCAAAGGCGATAAGACTTCTGATATTGAAATCAGGGACGCCCCATCATGCCAGGGCTTCATCCTCGGAGTTCAAGGGTGATTAGAGTTTTTATTTTCAAGCCAGGGGCGCTCCATCAGTCCCAGGCTCCATCCTCGGAGTTCAAGGGTGATAAGAGTTCTCATTTTCAACCCAGGGGGTCCCATCAGTCCCAGGCTCCATCCTCGGAGGTCAATGGTGATAAGAGTTCTGATTTTAAAATCAGGGGTGTTCAAGGGTGATAAGACTTCTGGTTCTAAAGGCAGGACCGCCCTATCAGTCCGAGGCTCCATCCTCGGAGTTCAAGGGTGGTAAGAGTTCTGTTTTTTCAAAATCAAGGG